TTGGCTCCCCAGCTTTTACAACGACTAGTTTCCTAGGGAGATTCTTACATGCAAACTGACGCATGGACTCTGACACTAGGCTATGAAGGGACCGACAAGGAGACACAATGGCTCCTTGCTACTCGATCATGCCTCCGACCTCATCAAAGCTTTCCACTCTCGGTACCCAGACAAGCCTGGTCCCAAAGCTCCTTAGGAACCTCGACTCCTCCCCCATCTCTCCTTTCTCTCCACTCCTCATTCCCATTTTCTTTTTTTCTGTAAGTACAGCTCCCCTCACCTTACTAATTCTGGGCCTTCAAGGGTTCAGGCCTAAGAAGGGGATACTGTCATATCCATCCATGGCCATCGTCTTCCACTACCTCCGATCCTTCCAGATTACCTCCGATCCTTCCAGATTACCTCCGCTCCTTCCTCACTAACCTCGGAGCCCCCATATTCCGCAATCACCTCCGACTCCCTCGATGGTCACCACCCCCTCTTTTCAATATATTACCTACGCCTCCCTAAGTACAGAGCCCCAAAGGCTTCCAGACAGCTCCGACGTCTGCTAGCGCACTCCCGCCCCCGCTGGGCAATTCACTTGCTTGCCCTGCAAGTCTACCTTCAGGCCTATCCCTCCTTTCTGTTTCTGGGTTATCGCCTGCCATTCCACTAACCCCATAACCTGACTCGTTGTCAGAGACCAGGTTGAGACGAGGGAGTGTCTCCGTGACGGAGGGCTTCGGCCTCAGCAACTTGTGCCAGGAGCGCTGTGCCAAGTAACATGTCCGTGCCCTAACTTACTAAACTGGCAACCAGAACTGAAAGGGGTAAACTCTAGTTGATTTTATTACTGAGGTGTAACCTATGTACAAGTGGAGTATATATATGGTTACAACGAGAGCAGGCCCGCAAATGGCGGAGCCGAGCGGAGCAGAGCTAACGGGGTTAGACATTAGCTGATTGAATATTACTGACGAGTCAGGTTACGGGGTTAGCGGAATGGTAGGCAATAACCCAGAAATGGAAAGGAGGGATAGGCCCGAAGGTAGGCTTGCAGGGCAAGCGAGTGTATTGCCCAGCGGAGGTGGGAGTGCACTAGCGGACGTCGGAGCTGTCCGGAAGCCTTCGGGGCTCCGTACTTAGGGAGGCATAGGTAATAAATTGAAAAGAGGGGGTGGTGACCATCGAGAGGTACCGAGGTGATTTATGGAATACGGGAGCTCCGAGGTTAGTGAAGGAGCGGAAGTAGACTGGAGGGATCGGAGGGAGTGGAAGTCGATGGCCAGGGATGGATATGACACTCATCGGTAATATTCAGTCAGCTAATGTTTAACTCCGTTAGCTCCGCTCCGCTTGGTCCCACCATTCATGGGACCGCCTTGCTGTAACTATATATATACTTAACTTGTAGATAGGTTACACTCCAGTGATAAAATCGACTAGAGTTGATCCCCCTTTTAGTTCTCGTTGCCAATAAGTAAATTAGGGCACAGACATGTTACTAGGCACAGTGCTCCTGGTCTGAGTTGCTGAGGCCGAAGCCCTCCACCATGGAGACAACTCCTTCATCTTGCTTCTGGTCTCTAACATATGCCTTGAATGCATCGGATGTCTCCTTAAGAAAATTGACCACCAAGAAACGTGTTGCAGCATCCGTGAATGAAATAAAATAATTGACTCCCTGTAAGGGATGGGTGGTAGAGTGGTGATGCGCGCTTTGCGTGCTTTCTTTATTTGTTCTTTATTCTTTGTATACAATGTATTTACATTTGTATGGCTCGGGCTCGGGGAAAGGGTTCTTCACTCTTTACCCTCAACCCGATGTCGAATCATAAGCTCCATACAGCCTAGATCTCGACATTCTGAGGACTGAGTCAACCCAGGCCAGCACCCCAACTGGCCTTACACTCCCCCTTTTCCCATGACTTGCACTGGTCCCCAGAGGTCGGTAACGATAAGTTCCCTGATTTCCCGGTACTTTGTATTGGATTCCCAGGGCACTGGTTGCACTGTGGATTTGCCTTGAATGCATGCCTTGCATTCAAAGTTTAATGGGGATGGGATTATTTTCATTCCATCAACATTTCCCTGTTCCATCATTGTTTTGAGGGACTGGGGCACGATGTGCCCCATTGCCCTGTGCCACTCCTCCCATGTTCTTCCTTCCTTATCCCCTCCTGTAGTTCCTGCCATCACGATCGGCTTCTTTAGAATAGACATATTCATTTTATACCATGAATTGCCATTTGCTTGTCCTGTGCATAATTCTGACCCGTCTGGTGTGAAGAATTTGATTTGGTCGGACTTAATTTGGATTGTTCCGCCCATGCAGTCAAAACATCGCAAGGATAATAGGTTACCATCATTTGATGGGATATGGTAGCAGTCCCTAAGCATGGCTGTATGGGACCCTGAGTCCGTGTCATATCCGTGCATATCCGATCCCGACCCGACTCCCGGACCTCCTTCCTTCACCACCTCCAGAGTCCTACCCTACCGCTGTCCGTTCCGATATTCACCCTCAGTCCTGACACCACACCTCCTCTCACCCCCCCCATGTCACCTCCACTCCTCCATCCCTCTCCTGTCCTATCTCCGTCTGCTCCGATACCTACCTCAGACCGAACACCACCCCTCTCACCACCCCTTCCGTCACCCTCCTACTCTCCTCCCGTCCGCTCCGATACTCACCTTCGGACCTGACACCTTTCCTCTCCTCCACACCTTACCTCCTTCCTCCTTCCTCTCTCTTCCCTCTGGCCCTCTTCCATCAACCCCCCGCCAAGTTACGACCTTCCGCCGCTGTCCCGTACTTCGTACTCGAACACCGCTTGTACCTTTGCTCCGAGCCTCCGTCATAGCTCCTACCTTGGACTTTGACTCCACCTCAGCCTTAGTCCATTGCATTGGTGACCTCATACTACGTAAACACCATTGCCAATATCCCTCGGACTTTCAACCCCGCCTCCGCAACCTCCGCAACCTCCGTAAGCTCCGCAACCTCCGAGCTCCATGGATCACCTTCGGCACTTTCGCCGCCCGTGATGTATCTCTCGCGTTTTCCCCTCATCCCTATTTGGACTGCTGCTTCTTCCCATTCTAGCCAGTTAGTCATCATCCCCACTTCCCCTCATCCTCCTGCCCCTCTGGGCCTCGCCCTCCTTACCTCCTTTTGGACGTACCACAGGTTCTGCCTTATGACCTTCGGTACCGCTCCGCTTCGGTCTTCCCTTTGTTCCCGTTTGGACGCCTTCGTTCCGATTCGGATCCCCTTTGTTTCCTTGTGCTTTCGCCCTCTCATTATATATATTGGCACCTGTACATACTCATTTTAGGCCTTAGTCTAAAATCGACCTGAAATGCCCCCTAGAGACTTCCTGCTCGCCCCCTATGAAATTAAGGACCAAATGGACAAACAGCAATGGCACAGCGCTCCACTTGAGTTGCTGAGGCCAAGGTCCCTCCTTGCTAAGTCTCCAGTTCCCCTCCGGAATCGTCCGCCCTCGCCCAGTTCTAACAGTCCAATTGCATGGTAACAAGAATGGTTCCGTGGCCTTGGATTGGAGTTCTAATTCCTCCAACTCCATTTAAGAATTGGCCTGAAATGGGATGGTATTCATTGAATGAATCGCGATCCCGAACTATATGGTGATTTGCACCAGAATCACCAATCCAAAATGCATATTTGCTCCAGCAAAGGCAAATGATTGCATATCATTTCCATCGTTGGACGCGATATTTGCATTTTTCTCTCCACCCTTCCTCTTTTCATCTGCAATCCTTTTTTGGCACTCCTGTATCCAATGTCCCTTCTTGTGACAGTACCGGCACTCCGAGTTAGATTTATCCGGCTTTGTTTTAGGATTTCTTGTGTTGGAATTGGTTGAATTGAAGGCTGTAGGCATGGTAGAATTGTTTTGTGATTTGCGCCAATTGGATTCTCCCCTGATTCTGGAGATAATCGAGTTGACCGCTGCCATTCTCTTTTTATCATCCTTTTCCACCAGATCTGTGAAATCAATTGAGGCAATAAAGTTGTCCCAAGATGATGGAAGCGATGTAATAAGAGCCATAGCAAATTCCGATTCCGGGAGTGTGTCCCCAGCAACTCGGAGATCCTGATATATTCAGCGTAGTTTTAAATGGTGGGTATTTAGATCATCTTCTTCTGACATCTGCATGCTATAGAATTGCTGCCGAAGATAGATGCATGCAATACTCCCGGAATCTTCATATTCATTCCAGAGTATTTCCCAGGCTTCTTTTGCATCGCAGACCGACTCAATATATGTTTGGACATATTGATCGCATCAGATTCGCATATTCATAATAGCCTGCTTATTGGATTTCTTGATTTTCTCCTTGTCAGTTTGATTGGCAGCAACAAGATCATCAAGTGATTTTTCTATGTGAGGTAACAAGTCCATATCCTCCAGAATATCCTTGATGTTGCTCTTCCAAGAACGGTAATTATCCTTGCCAGTTAGGGCCGGGATTTTATATCCGCTGAGAGAAATTCCTTCTTCTTTAGTTGAGGCCATAATGAATATTTGAGAAGTTAGATATCTTTATTGAGAAGTTAAGCAAAGATCCGAGTATATAGAGTTAACTAGGTATGACCCTTAGGCTGGGCTCATAACCTGTTGTAATGTAGGGATTCCTGATAAGGCAATCCACTTACTTCAGTGGTTATACTCGCGAGACCAGAGGTAAGCTAGAACTTTTCTGATGATTTTGCTCAATGCACATCTGTGCATATTTATACATACACGAAATGTATTACAATGATATTATATGTAAAATAAACTGTTGTGCAAGCATGCATATGCAAGCACAGACTGGGCAGGAATATTCTGGCGATTTCCCACAACAATCCAGAATGCCCCGGAAGGTTCCGGTGACTCGTGACTTCAACAGAGTTTGAGACATTAGGGCGATGAGCCACTTTGTGTCTGGTGTGGTGTGGCTAGTACCCATGAGACAGCGATGGTGGCTACAGAGCTGAGCAGCTTGACATGTGCTGTCATATCTGTGCATACCCGATCCCGACCCGACTTCCGGACCTCCTCCTTCCCCACCTCCGGAGTCCTACCCTACCGCTGTCCATTCCGATATTCACCTTCGGTCCTGGCACCACACCACCCTTCACCTCCCATGCCACCTCCACTCCTCCATCACTCTCCTGTCCTATCTCCGTCCGCTCCGATAACCACCTCGGACTGAACACCACCCCTCTCGCCACCCTCCTCCTACTCCTCCTACTCCTCTGCTCCCTCCTCACAACACCTCCACCCTTCCGTCATCCTCCTACTCTTCTCCCGTCCACTCCGATACCCACCTTCGGACCTGACACCTCTCCTCTCTTCCTTCCCCTCTCTTCCTTCCCCTCTCTTCCTTCCCCTCTCTTCCTTCCCCTCTCTTCCTTCCCCTCTCTTCCTTCCCCTCTCTTCCTTCCCCTCTCTTCCTTCCCCTCTCTTCCTTCCCCTCTCTTCCTTCCCCTCTCTTCCTTCCCCTCTCTTCCTTCCCCTCTCTTCCTTCCCCTCTCTTCCTTCCCCTCTCTTCCTTCCCCTCTCTTCCTTCCCCTCTCTTCCTTCCCCTCTCTTCCTTCCCCTCTCTTCCTTCCCCTCTCTTCCTTCCCCTCTCTTCCTTCCCCTCTCTTCCTTCCCCTCTCTTCCTTCCCCTCTCTTCCTTCCCCTCTCTTCCTTCCCCTCTCTTCCTTCCCCTCTCTTCCTTCCCCTCTCTTCCTTCCCCTCTCTTCCTTCCCCTCTCTTCCTTCCCCTCTCTTCCTTCCCCTCTCTTCCTTCCCCTCTCTTCCTTCCCCTCTCTTCCTTCCCCTCTCTTCCTTCCCCTCTCTTCCTTCCCCTCTCTTCCTTCCCCTCTCTTCCTTCCCCTCTCTTCCTTCCCCTCTCTTCCTTCCCCTCTCTTCCTTCCCCTCTCTTCCTTCCCCTCTCTTCCTTCCCCTCTCTTCCTTCCCCTCTCTTCCTTCCCCTCTCTTCCTTCCCCTCTCTTCCTTCCCCTCTCTTCCTTCCCCTCTCTTCCTTCCCCTCTCTTCCTTCCCCTCTCTTCCTTCCCCTCTCTTCCTTCCCCTCTCTTCCTTCCCCTCTCTTCCCTCTGGTCCTCTTCCACCGACCTCCCACCAAGTTACAACCTTCCGCCACTGACCCATACTTTGTACTCAGGCACCGCTCATACCTTTGCTCCGAGCCTCCATCATAGTTCCTACCTCGGACTTTGACTCCACCTCGGTCTTAGTCCATTGCATTGGTGACCTCATACTACGTAAACACCATTGCCAATATTCCTCGGACTTTCAACCCTGCCTCCGTAAGCTCCGCAACCTCCGAGCTTCGCGGATCATCTTCGGCACTTTCGCCACTTGTAATGTATTTCTCGCGTTTTCCCCTCATCCCTACTTGGACTGCTGCTTCTTCCCATTCTAGCCAGTTAGTCATCATCCCCACTTCCCCTCATCCTCCTGCCCCTCTGGGCCTCGCCCTCCTTACCTCCTTTCGGACGTATCACAGGTTCTGCCTTATGACCTTCGGTACCGCTCCACTTCTGTCATCCCTTTGTTCCCGTTCGGATGCCTTCGTTCCGATTCGGTTCCCCTTCATTTCCTTGTGCCTTTGCCCCCTCCATTATAAATATCGGCGCTTGTACATACTCGTAGGAGGCTCAGTCTGAAATCGACCTGAAATGCCCCCTAGAGACTTCCTGCTCGCCTACTGTGAAATTAAGGACCAAATAGGACAAACAGCAATGGCACAGCGCTCCGCTTGAGTCACTGAGGCCAAGGTCCTTCCACGCTAAGTCTCCGATTCCACTCTGGAGTCATCTGAATCTGCCCATTCTAACATGTGCCAGAGAGCTGGGTCCATCAATATATCATCAACGGGGAATGCAGAATGGCCATATGGCGCCTATTTTGCTATATTGACATGTGCTTCTATTGTATTTACGAAAGGGTTCAATACCCTTTCACTTTTCAACTGCCACTTTCCCCCAAAACCGCTGTATGGGGAGCAGAAATTGCCAGTGTATTCAAAAATGTGGGAAAGCGGAAAAGAACATGTAAGCCAAAGTGGCAGATTTTACTAATTACAAGGGAGGCAGAGTGGGAATATCACGTGTTGCAAGTTGTACTAGTTACTTGATTTGTCCATTTGATTTGCCTATTTGTCTATTTGACAGATTTCGGAGGCAACATAGGTTGCGGCTAAACCTCGGAGAAATCACGTGAGCGACTGGGAAGGAGTCTACTGTACCCACATGACCAAACCCAGACACAGCTTAATCCCAGACATCACAAACCGGAGGATCCCGTCATCCTGACCACACCAACCAGATAACCTACCTTGTATTGACGAGCCCCTCATGTACAGTCAGATGTAAATAACCGGGCTAGCCGCACTGCCACGTACAAACGCGGCCGCGGGGTAACAAAATAGAGTACAACAACAACCCACACGACCAATTACCGGCTGAGGTTCCGAGTGTGACACAAAATAGTCAACCGGCTTCTCCTTGTGACATGTGACAAGCAACCGGAAGAGGTGGCAAGGTTGGTGTGACACCAGCCACAGTGGCGCTGGAAATGTCCAACTGGCAAATTTTCGTGTTGACACATTTTACACCAAAAAAACTACTTCCTTGCAGACGGCTTTTGTTTTCATTGAATTTAATCCGATTTCACACAGCCACTTAGGCGCCAAAAAAAATTGGTGTGACAAGGATCATTCAACCGGAACGTCAGTGTGATGCGTGACAACAGCCCACTTACAGCCGGACCGGAAGGTGCGTGTGATGCGTGACCGGTAATTGGTCGGTATATCTCCCCTCTACATGAAGACATATAATGACCATTAGTCGGCCTCCAGGAGTTGCCGGAGGCGTCGAATCAATTCAATCCAAAATCTTCGTGCGACATGCGATAGGCTTATGGTCGTTATAGAGTAATCCCGCAAACTCATTAATTTCAGTGCGTGACATGCATGATTGAGCAATACCATAATCCCGTCTACCTTAGCCTTGGCCGCGGAATGCGTGTCAGATGGGCAGACGAGATTTGTTGTAAAATATTACTTATATTTAAAAGGTAATTTGGAGTACACAACTGCCCAAGATAGGCAGGGACTCCAGCCTCTATGACTTCGTAATATCATATAGAGCCCAAAGACACACTCATAGTTTCCTGATACTAATAGAGGCTGGTCACCTGCCTAAGCTTCCTGCCACTGCCATGTCGTCGCGAGGAACAAATCGTCACCGTTACCGCTTGCAGATCCACTCATTTTTGGCCCACGACTCAACACGACGTGTAGCTGCACGGCGTGGATCTCCTCCAAAGAACAACTTAGAAACACGGCCGGTGCCGCTGTGGTGTTCTGTCCAGGCAATGCTCTTTTCACTGTATCATTCGTTCTAAGAGCCGGGGGAAATCGGTAACTAGACAATAAGAGAATAAATTCGATCCGAGAACTCGTTTTGGATGCGCACTCAGCTGGATTCGAAATCAATATATTTCAGGCTCAGCTTCGTGAGGCATTTGTACCAGCTCGTCGCTCAGATCCGAGCCCTTAAAGCTCTGCCATCGAAATCGCTGAATTCGAGAGGTGGGTTGGGGCTTGACCTGAGTTTCGCCAGTCCCTGCGAAGCAAGCCAAAAATGATCGATTTGTCGTCAAGAACGGATTAATTGTAACTGGTGGTCGGACGTGCGTGCCAGGACAACCGCTGCAATGACAAGAAATGCGGACGTCCCAGTCACCAGGTCAGGGTTGCTTTGCTTTGGGGAATTCAGCGTCAATTATTGGCCGAGCTTGCGAGGGTTTTGCTTCCCAGCACTATTTTGTTCATGCTTTTGGCGGGGGAGCTCGGAAGCAAGCTGAGTCACCCCACCTCAGTTTCCGTGCTTGTAGTAAAAGTGCCAACAACTCAGCGCAGCCTCCCCTACCCGATACAACCGCACATGACTCCTAACACCGTCCCTCCTCTCAACCACCCGGGGCTGATCAACGTGTGGCTGGTGTACACTCTGACATTCCCGAGGGTTTCTGTGCAGAACGAGAAGCACGGCCTTTCTCAACCCTGAGATCTCGCTCCCATCCCCTACATGCCACTGTTTATCACTACTTGTTCTCCTCAGCCATCTGAGAAGTTGAGGCAACTCAGCTTGGACGCACATCATTCCCTCCACACCTGCATATGGTTTCGTGGTCATCTTTCGCTTCGTCACTTTGACCTAAAGTTTAGCAGACTTGATACTGGACCGAGAGCGACCATGATCAATGATGTGAGCACATACGGGCATTGATTGGCGGTGACTTTGCTCTTCTGGCACAGGAGGCACCAGCACAGCTCATCATCATCTTCCACTCTCGTTGAATACTTTCACTGGGAAAAGTTATCGAATCTGGGGGGAATTGTGCCGTGGTCATTACCAGGCCCATGTGCAATACATGTTCTTGCGAATGGGGCAAATAACGTTAACGACCGAAGTGCGAACTCCGCCCTGAAGTGGGCAGGTTAAACCTGTTGGAGAACTCCGCCTGTTATGGATAGGGCTTGCCTGGCCCCCGAGATCTGGCCAGGTTCTGTGCGACTGGCTTCACCTCGATAACTCATTCCTACGACATGCCTGGCGTTGCGGAGTTTGCCGGAGGCGTACCTCACCAACAATCCATGCGCGCGCCATTCAGTGGACTTCGTGCATGCATGGTAACTGTGGCATCCATTTTTGGGATCGTGTTAGATCCTAGAACGGCAGACAAACCACAAATGATCACGACATTCACTCCCAGAAACACCATCACATTTCCTGAAAGTAACCAACTGTCACTGGAGACAACCCTCTCTACTATTGCTTTCTACCTTCTGCATAACCCTTTGTATGCCTCCCAGGCCACTTCCTGGATGTTTTCCGTGCAGGGTAAGCAAAAAATGTGAGATATCCTGCTTGCGCACCACCACTCGATTCTGAGTATCGCGTGTAGTGTGCCCAATGACTGCGCAGGATGGAGGAGTATGTGGCAAATGTCGTGAGAAAGGTTGGGAATGCCAAGGATATGGCGAGCAGGCACCAGGGTGGACTAAGGCATGCTACCGGGGGCATGTTTGATTCGCTAAAACACTAATTCTTTTGGCTTGACTAGGACCAAGTGTTCATAAACGAGGTCAGGGCGACACTGATGAACCGGGCTGACCCTCTACCTGCACTCGCCGGGACCAGTGAGGGGGCAGTTGTTGCGTGTGAGCCATCCTTTGTATCTGGATTTCCATACATCCTTATCCCCATTAACTAGTGGTGGCCGGTACCCTCTCTCCTCCCCTGCCAGACGCCTCCCATATATCCCCCGCAAGCGTTCCTTTTGACACTCCTGGGCTTGTTTCACTTCCACAACAGCTGCGCTGCCTTCTACCCAACTCCTCTGGCCAGTGGAGGGGCGGCTCGTGTACGACTTTCGCACCCGATGTTGCTCAGCTCATTGGGGGATCAGATGGATCGCTTGTGGCCGGCTCGGCCACCCGTTCAGATAGTGTTCTGGGACCAAATCTTGACTCTATCTCTCCCTACTCTAACCTTTCCACTCCCTGTGCCTATGAAGGGGGCTCCAGTGGGCGTCGACACCGGGTCATGCCCGTTAGTGACCCTTTATCATCTCCACCCTTTCCGGATCGTACCTTGGGAAACACCCTTCCTTACAACATGCATCCAGCTTGCGTGCCATTTGCACTTGATCATGTCTTCCACCAGCAAATGGCCCCCTCCAGCGTTCAGCGGGACTCCTTGCCCAGTATTGATCCGAACACGGTTGAAAACGCGACTCTTCGTCATCACATCCACCGATCCCTCTCCATCCTTTGTCCTCAGCATCAACCCACAACGGAAGAAATTACGTCTGTAATTCTTCATCTTCAACATATGGGCTGGAGCGAATTCTCACAGTAACGGTCAGATCCATCTACTTCGCTGCGCATGCAACGTCCCCAGCGTGTAGATCTTGAGGTTGCATTTCTCCTAGACACCCACTCCCGATGTTTTGAGCTGTACTCATATGTACTGGATGCATCAATCTTGATACTGTTTTCCTTCTGGGCTAGGGGATCTACGTTAGTAGAGGCTGAGATCCTAGAGGACGGCACATGCTGAGGGTAAATACATGGGGGAAATGTCATGTGGCGGCATCGGCGTTACACCTTAGTGTGATGGATGATGTTATCGGATGTCCTGGGACGCTTGTTTGGCGTTGCCCGTCCTGCCGCTCCAGCAGGGCACGGTTTCATTTTGCCTTCATACAATTCTGCACGTGTGCGCGCATGGAGGACAAAAGCAGTAAAACACTGATTACGTGATCGGTGCTAGTTGAATCCCCATGCCCACAGGGCAGACTCGTGACCAGCCAAAGAAGGGAGTGATGAATGTTTGGAGGATCAGGGGGAAATTTCATCCGGACATAGGCCGCGCGGTAGATGTTTATAGGGTAGGAGCTGTATATCAGCCTCAACATGTCAGCACAACCACATCATCGACAATCGCGTCTGTCAGCGCGTGAGGCAAAGTTCTCACCCATTCAATTGTTTGCGAACATCCCAACTAGGAAAGGCATTGCTTACGTCAACGTTCGCGCAGTCGACCCCAGCAGACCAACCCAGAGGATCTCACACCCGACTACACCAACCAGAAACTTCATGTAATGATGATCCAATAAATTCGGCCAGCTCCGCTATAATACAGCCAGTTATGGATAGCACTGCCACGTGACAACGAAGACACGCACCATGGAACAGATATAAAGTTCTCTTTCGAGCCGTGTCTGCGGGAGGCATGTGGATGCAGATGTCTTCCTTGCGAATGAGAGGAAAATGCTGCCTCTGAGCTCTTAGCTATTAGTGATCTCCCCGGACTCATACCGATCTACTTATTAGGACTCTCCTCTTATCGGTCGGCTTTGTATCCTGTGTCCTCACTGGTTTTGGCTGCAGTGAGAGGAGATGGTGCATGACATAAGATTGAATCGACTTCATCTACCAAGTGCTGATGTCTCACATAGAGTCCACTTCGTCCCGTGGGATGGGCTATACATGAGTTTTGATCCATCCTGTTTCTCAAATAACCCTGAAGCATAATCTAGCGCATGTGGAGTGCAGCCGATCGCAAAGTGGAAGAGAGTGGGTGGCAGCGGAGGTAACTTAGGATGGTGCCTTGCAGATGTCTAAGGTATGGTGCAGTAGGATGCGCTGCCGGGATGTGGTAGAAGAAAAGCCAAATCTTAAGTCTCCACTTGGGACAAACAAAAATAAACGATCCGGATGGCAAGTCGCCAGATGCCTTAGCCGCACCAAACAACCCCCTTCCCATTGATCTACGCCCTTGTGTGCCGAACACTTTTTCCTATTGTGAGGGCAAGGGGCATAATGAATCGCTTGAGGCCTCGGATTGGCGAATCCGGTGGAAAATTGGGGAGACAGTGAACGTGTAAAATCTCCGCAGATGAGCATCCGAAACGGCACTGCGGGGGCCAAACAAGTCCCGTCCCCACTGGAGCTCGGATCAATACCTGGCCCGAAGGTGTAAAGTGGAACAGCCACAGACTGGTCAGTTCCCGCAAAGTCAGGGATCACGGGGCCCCTATAACGAAGACCCGTAAGTTGAAAGCGAAAGCGAGATGTCCAGAAGTGGGTTCGGCAGGCTTATCGCATAGGGGAGTTAAACAATATTACCAATGAATGTAACAAGCAGGCCTTGGCTTAGGAATGTGTTAGAAGTTAGGAATATCGACGTCCCATACTTTGGGCGCACGGACCTGCAGCCGCCAAAGATCTTCCATTATTCCTTTCTTGTCTTTCTTGTGGATCGACGTCATTGTAGGCTTAAAAGCCACTGGACGCGACTTTTTCTTGCTCTCCTAGTTCTACTCTCGTGAACTGAGGTGAGACCTACTCTTCATTACGCAACTACTCCTTTTACTGAGAACTCGTGTGTATTCTACTTAGCGCTAATCCTACGCTAGTTCTCTCACAGAATGGACAGACCCGCTACGGAGGAGCAGGAATTTCAGGGCACGGCGAAGGGAGCCGGGAGCGGCGGCGTCAGGATCCGCGTTTCCGCGTCGGGGAATTGTTTTCGGGAAAATGATAGAAACTCTCGTGATGTCATTCGGGGCCGAGCGGGAACATTAATAGCCTTCGGTTGTTCGAGCAAGCTTGTTAACCAAACCCCCTAGCCCCCCGAGCTTCGAGTCTTTCCGAGTCTCGGGAAGCAGGATCCACGGAAGAGCGGCGGCCTCTGGCATTGAGATGTTCCAAGTAGAAACTTTGAGTGGTGTTTAGTTGTATTGTTGACTCATGATGAGATAGTTGAAGGTGAATTTAAATATTGAATATCATCTGGAAAAAAATGGGAAAGGAATGCTGTAAGTATTTCCAACCGAGCCGAGGAAAGGTTGTAGACACATCGGGAGCTGTGGGCCGTGAGAAGGAAGATATGTATGAATGGGGATGGTAGTGGGGTTGGGACACAGGGGAGACACAGAACATGAAGGAGGAATCGAGATGTTGCGTTTTACGTACACGAGTGGGTGGTCTAAGCCCCTGAAAAGAGGGGACTTGAAGATCTCATTGGATTACAAGTCATGCTACCGTTCAGGCAACATGTCCCGCTAGCGTGCAACATTCCACACACGCGACACCGCCTCCCCGATTGGTCCGTGCACCGATCGCCTTGTAGCACAGCCTCGCTGTACTATAAAGACGCCGTAGTTAAAATGCAACAATAACAATCGGCTTTGAATTGGCTTTGGTACTTACGTTATTACTCGAGTGCAGCCGTTGAGTGACTCACAACAACAAATCTAATCGTCTGGTTACAACGTGTTGTTAGTGCCGGACGTAGTAGGCTTTAAGCGCGCATGCACGCGTGTAGCTCGGTGAAACGGTATTTGGGTGAGTTAAGGTCCATAATCGGGAGCGAATATCGAGGGAGTGTCCAAGTGGGTGGGCACCAGTATACGATAACAAGTTAAGGGTCCTCGATCGCTTTTCCCATCCTCAGCATTGAAGAGTCTAGGTCAGCGTGCAAAGTGCTGACTGTTCATTTATCCGGTAATGAACAAAGCGCCAGTGGAAGAGAAAGTCTGGAGCATATCGCGCTATATTAGGTAGTGCCAGGAAAATCCTCTCAGGGAGGACCGATGTCGAGCTATTCAAAGTGGGGACCTTTCGTAGTTTCCCTGGGTGATATGCCGACAATGCAACATTGGAAAAGGCGGTCACTCGGAGCCCACACATGTTTTAGCTATCCAGTATATTGGTGCCTTGTGGTCGCATTTCTGGTGAAGAGCGATGAGCCGTTGTGACTAGGGGTGCCACGGTTCGGTTTGGTTCGGTTCTGGAGCGATTTTTTGAGAACTGGAACCGGAACTGGTTCGAAATTTGATGATAATGCCGAACCAGAACCGAACCAGTATGTGAACCGAACCGAACCATTATTTGGTTCTCTTGCGGTTCGGTTCGGTTCTGGAACGGTTCGAACCAACTTTGTTAAATGTGATAATTTCAATGAAATATTATATTTTCGGCGGAACATTCTAAGTGTCCATAATGAGGCCCACCCGCTCTGCGCGTTCTATCATGAGATTTGCGTCATAACCCTGCCACTCTCGGACCTTTGCTGCGTCTAATGCCTTCCTTGCCTCCCTCTCCTTGAAGTAGTTACGCTGCATATCGGCCTTCGCGATTTGAATAGCCCCGAGATGCTCGGGAGTGAGACGGTTCCGACTGTCAGTGTCACTGTGTTTAGCGGCAGAAAATGCCCTTTCACATGGAATAGAGGATGCTGGGACCGAGAGCAGATCTCGGGCGATGGAGGCTAAGACAGGATATGTAGCGCCTTTTTTCTGAAAATTAGTATAGATAAGTTCGAAGTTAAAGCATAGTTGAGACAAAATACTGGTGCCGCTCACCATCCAAAAGTCGAGGATGTCCTTTCCAGGCAGTTCAAGTGGGTCGTTGAGATAGCATTCAAGTTCCCCACAAGGATCATCGCTTGATACTTCCTGAGCCCGTCAAGCTTGGCTGGCTGCAAGACGGCGAGAGAGACCAGAAACTTCATCAGCTGAAGTGGCAACTGGCAGCGCATATACACCCTCGCCCTGGTTTTTTCCAGTTGTATTGAAGGCAGCAGACCGGGTTGCATATATGGAATGATACTCAAGAAACTGGTAATAGTCTGTGACAATCAACACTCTGGGAGATGAATGGCGCGACTCACAATGATGCGCACGCTCTCATTTTTCATTTGTGTGACATAAGATACTAGTAAGGTTTGGAGCATGACAACATTCCTACGGTTCTATGGTTCGGTTCGGTTCAGAACCGGTTCACATTTTCCCCCTAACTTAGAGAACCAAAACCGAACCATCAGAGAACTGGGTCAAAACCGAACCACGGTTCGGTTCCAGCATGGTTCGGTTCTCGGTTCGGTCCCGGTTCGAACCGGTTCTCTGAGAACCACGGCACCCCTAGTTGTGACGATTCCTTGTCAATGATGCGATGGAACATTCATCCTGTCCAAGGAAAAGGAAATTTGATTGAGCGGAACACCTTTACGAGAACGGTCATTCTGCAGCCCGCCACTGTTGATATGACCTAGTTTTTCAGTATTTGGAGGTTAGTTGATTAGCGGCAGGAACGTCCGAAGGACGCGACCCGTGACGTGACAACCTTTCCATTTGCGTCACTCCATTTCGGTGCATACCGTACTAGGTAACTGCAATTATTTGTATTTCATCTGTGGGGAGTCAGCCGCTTCTCGTCACCGGCCCCCACCAACAGATCTCCTTATGTAATCGAGGCTACACCAACAGGCCCCCAAAAAGAAGTCGTCGGAACCCCAATCTCTCATGACCAATCAAATGGGTATCTGTTTGCTCCGATCGGCCAGTCGAAATGAGGGATTTCAAATTTTGCGTAAGTCAGCTGTTGCAGCCGTTCAAGCCACATCGTTTCCGAGTAGATCGCATTGGAATACTGCTGCAACATCTGGCTGTGCATTTGATTGGTGGGATCGGCGGTCTCTCTAACCCGGGAGTTGAATGAAGTTGCGGCTGGGCGCGTACGTTTCATTCTTCAAGTTGCATCGGATAGATTTGATGACCGAACTACGCCACCCACAGCGCAATAACAAGTAGCTGCGGCACAAACCATGAGATACACCGTTTTGTTATCCGCTACTGCTAGTTGTTGAGCGTCTGCTTTTTTGCCATGGTTCTGTCCCGCGGATCCACAAAACATAATGCCAAGGATTAGGACATTTGAATGTTTTCGACCAATTCTCGATCATTTAGTAAGTAGAGATAATTCCCTGATTTGCTCTCAAGGTATTGCCGCACGTACGGAACGGTGCCACATTAAGCCCTATACTCGGCAGGGCTTCCTTACTTGGATTTCCATCTCTGCTTTCTTTTGCTGCCTAATACCCTCAAATCGGTGCCGCCAGTCAAAAAGCTGGGAGTCTTCCCCTAACTCCACTCTTCACTAGCATAACCCGACCCCCTTTCTAGGCTCTCAAGCTAATTTCGGGCCCTCCTCACCTTTACACGCGGTGTACATCCATCTCTCCTCCGGATCATACAGTGTCATTGACCTTTTTTTACATCACATCATGCTCTATATAGGACTCAGCGATTTCCGTACCTTCATCCTCGACCCTAGCGTTCCACTTTCGGGACACCCAGCTTACGCATGCCTGAAGAAGTTGGTCACCATGCTCGAGGCATTTCCAATCCAGACACGCAGCACAGAGTGTGTACTGTTTCGTGGGGTTGGACCCCCCCAGTTGACTAACGATCCACATTCATGCAGGAATCACCAGGAAGTACTATCACTACTCAAAGCTCTGAGAGCAGCGAGTTGACGGGCCGTGGAAACGTCTCTGGGGGCGACCAGCAGGCTACAATAGTGAGTGCGACTTCCTCGCTTCACTCTCAATCACCAGATACAATTGCGAGTACCAGACCCACGCGCCCATCCCTGCAGAAGACCGGCCAAACTCGTCTGGCTCTCCTCATCCAGGCAAGCAGTTCCCATGATTCCTTGAACGTTAGCGCTCATGATTTGAATCAGTGGGCAACGTTCCTGATAGCCGATTTTTTACTCCGTTCCCCGCGCAGCAGCTTTCACCCACAATGTCTAGTGCATGGCTCAACGGACATGGGCAAGACGAGTCCCTGCCTCATTAGATTGAACTGCGTAGCTACCATGTAATTAGATGGGAAGTCAGTAAAGTTGATCAAGTTAATATCTGTTTTGGCCACCATGAGGGCAACTGTATTGGGTGTCCCTGCCTCAGCCATGGGAGAGAGTTTCGAGATGAGGGCGGTATGAGGGCGAAGTTACGTATTGTTCCCCTTCGGGCGATATCCAAATCGAGGGTTGTCCATCAGTCAGTTGTGGGGGAACCCAGGACACGCGATAAGACCCACACAGTTCTAGAGTGCAACCGGAACTTCGCGGTTGACGAGTTTACTCTTCCAGTTCGAGAACTGGCTCCAAAATTAACCAACTAGCAGAATTTCGGACCGAGACCCGGAAGCCCTTCTGCTGGTCCTCACCAGCGCTTGTAACCAAACAAGTAGACTGTATGGAAAAAAATGAGCAGAGGGCCGACGGATCACATTTGGAACATATGCATTGGGACGAAGTGTCGAGATGTTGTCAAATCCACGTGGTTTAAATGAATCCCACATAACATATGGGCGATACTGATCCAGATCTTCGCTCCAGTAGAAATCGGGAATTAGAAAAGCAGCCAGGGAGTATAGCACAATTGAGAGGAGCAATGTACTTCAACAAATTAACTGGCGATCCTCATGTAAGTTGTATCAAAAGCAAGCGAACAATGCAGCAGCTAGTAAGCAGATCGATCCCTGTTTGTCTTCCACATAATGTAATTTCTTAGGACCGGGCACCGGGGGATGCTTGTGTGTGGTTTATGAGCTGTAGGGTGGCGCCGTCCAAGAAAAATGATGCAGAGTGAAAGAAACGTCGATTTCTCCATCACGTGGCATGCTTGGTCAGCTACAGCAAACCCGATAGCCTCGGAGTCGACATCACTTTATGTGCTTTGCCATTTATTGAATAAGTACATCTGGTAACTGAATCTGATGTCGTGATGTTCAACCAAAGTGAAATCTGAATGCATGCGGAGCAGTTTGAGGTACACCACGATTGAGTCTTTACAGGGCCACTGAGTTCGCCACCATCACTATGATTTTCAGATTTACGACATCACCATGGGCAGTAATTCGCACCATCACGCTCCCTGGGGTTTTCCAGGCATCACGGCCGCGGAATTGTAGGCCAGAGCGCTGGAGGGTAGCTCGAATTCTATAGCTAACCGCACATGAAGCTCGTGAATTGCAGTCTTCCTGATGGAATCTCCGCCGAGTTAGGGATACTGATTCATTCCTTGTGATTTGATTGACTGATCATCATCGATTTCATTCAGGAAAAGCATCTGCTAGCACACGAGACACAAAACCCCAGTTTGGGCCGTTTTTTAATAACCGGCCGATGCACACGTGGTACAAAACACGACAATATGGTATCAATTCAAGGCATGGACACTGAATGTTCTTCCCCATTCGTAGATTAGAAGAACGTTAGCGTGATCGCGTGAATTAACACCAGTGTTTCGCCAATGATTGACCAGACGATCACCACCAAGCAAGAAAGGCATTCTCCAGCGGGTCCACCGCTCTGCATATGTACATATGGATGGCTCATCGTCAGACCCCAGAATGGTAAATCGTGCCTTAACAGCGCCCGACCCTGCAATCTTTTTCATTGGCTCTCATCAGAGCTGGCAGATCATTCCACTAACGAGGAGCTAATCCGATCCGATCTCCGGAAGGGGGTCAGTGAAGCAAGGAATCTCAGCAGCCACCTTCTTCCTCCATTTCCCCCCTTCCAACCATGAACGTTACAATGGTTGTAACACGAAATCCGCTACACTCCAAACCGGTCTCCTAAAGCTCCACTGGCTCAAGGGGAAAAATATTGCATACTTGACTGGAGGCATAGCTGTGCAGAGATTACAGGGCGCAGTGTACCAGCGCGGAAGTCCCGCGTTCTGTAAGTAAGTATCTCCAGAACGCTTCGTAAGCCCTCAGCATCTTCACGAGAGTAAGGAGCACCCACGCCCCAGCACCATCTTCCCAAAGGTGGGCAGTTGCTGGCGCCTGTGGTTGTTCCCGAGCACTCCGGTGCTCGGCGTCTTAACATGGGTAAGGGGTGTGGCGGGCAATGAGGAATCGCTCATGTTGTGGATGACAACCGAAAACTGGAATGCCACATCCCTAACGGATCAAATGCCGAGACCAAGGCAGCCAAAGCATCGACAGGAGCTAGGGGCAGAATCTCATTCTCTCATCTCTTCCACCAAGGGCGAAAGACATGAGCGATCCCTCATTGCCCGCCAAGAAATCATAGGACGAACTATCCATTCACCAAACATCCGTGGTGCGCGTTGAAAGTCAAGAGATCAAGCCTACCGTAGTCCCAATAATGGTGCCACCTCGTGTAGATCTATAGGACTTGGTTCATGCTTTGCCACCCCCCCATCCAATTGATTGGATAGCTTTGTTGGAGATTGTTCAGGGCATAAACATTTATTGAAAAGGGCACTCATTTCGGGAATCAGATTTAGGGCGCAGGGCATCGGGTAAGCCGATACCACTCGCTGCAGCTAGCGCGGACAGCGCATCGAAGAAGCTGACTGAAATTAAGAATCCCAACGAGCATTATAGACCACTGATGCTAAAGGCTGGCGAGCGTTAGGAATACGGCGCTACAACCGCACGTCGTACAAAAGACCCAGCTGGAAGGGTCTGCCACATGCAACTGGCAGAGTGCCCCCAGTATGGTGTAATTGAAGGCTCGGATCCTCCTGCAGACTGGACCGGTGCGAATCCTATCATTGAATTGGGGACGTGAGAAGATGAAGAGAGAGAGGTGTCTCGTCTAATCGCTGTAGTTATAACGTTGTACTGCCTCAGCTCAAACGCTAACTAAGACACTTTCTACCGGCTTGGTTTGGCATGGAGGGGACCCAATAGAGGGGCAGCGCAAGGACCACTGGCATTCCGGCCTGAGCTAGGACGGGTCCAAGAAACAACCGCTGAGATTACTCCGTCACATCGCTGCATCAATATTGCACGCTCGATCATCCAATAGAGGACAAGGCTGGCGGGATTCCCGTTGTCGTGTGACGCCTCGCATGTTTTGAGTGGAAGATGGGCTTTTGTGAGGAGTTGTCCTGTCCAGCGCTAGTACGCATAGTATTGTAGTAGTAGTAATAGCAGTAGTAGTAGTAGTAGTAGTAGATGTACGTCTTTAAGCCGGTCGGCTACAATGTGATCAAGGAGGGTGTTTGTAAAAGGGTGGAATCGAAAGCATAACGGTGTGGTCTCGAGGTGATAGATCTCGGTTTCTCGGATGTAAAGTCGGCAAATTGATGTAAGGGGGAAAAGAGATATGATGGTCGGTTCACGGAAGAGTGGTGAGGTGAGTTCCTAGCATCCTTGGATTGAGTGCTCACGTGGAGATCCAGAAAAGTAGGGGTTGTCTTTGATTCAATGTAAGTTTGGCCAGGCTCGATCAAGAGGGGATGTAGTTGTTGAAAAGATTTCATCATCATCATCGCAGGGAAGGAGCTTTGGGCGGCCATTGCGGATGGGCATAGTGCGGATGCGCTGTGGAAGTCGCGCGGGTTGCTGTGGTGTGCACGCTGCAGTTGTGATACTATGCGAGAATGGTGGTCGGCGGTTCCTACTGGCGGGGTAGAAGGGAGATGACTGTCACGCGGTGTTGGGTTGGCCTTGCAGGGCCTGGCCATGTCACGAAAGGTAGGATAAATAGGCAGCCAAGAAATTTTTAGCGCAATGCTGGAGGCCTCCATCTCATGTATAGAGGCCTTGTTTGCCGACTGCTTTGAGGATGCTGGGAAGCATGTCCGATCCGACGCGTGTACCACCACCCACGTCGTCTACTCACTTCCCAGTGGACGCATCTTAGAGCCTACAGTTCCCAGTACCACATTGGGTTGAGAACTGGCCGCCTGGACTACGTCAAAGTAAGGTGTTCCTGGATAACGTGACAACAGTCATGAATAAGCGGTCTGTGTCACATGAATGAATGAATGAATTCATTGTATTGTACGTCCCTGTGCTTGTCGGCATATGCCGTACATACGTGAACCAAAGACAAGTGGAGGAATGGTATGTTGATTGAAGAAAGGTGTTGTGGGTTAGGACGGTGTTGCGACGCGATGACCGCAACTGTATAAGACAGCTTTTTAGTTCGGTGCGCTTGCCAACAGTTACTAGCGGCATGGGCCCTGGTTGTTGAACGACCGGACATACGTCTACTGCTGCATCAAGTATGAGTCGAGGTACGCCTTATCTGGAATGACCCGCGAATGGAATGTTCATTCAACTTATTGCGGCTGCCTCTTCCGAACCCCGGAACATCCCTGCGTGTAACAGTTATGGCTATTGATCATATGGTATGGATGTTCCGCGGAATCCCTGCCTCGTGATATGGAGGACCGATTTTGGACACGGGTGCGGACAACAGTGATACGCAATTTTCAATTGCGACTGGCAAGACTGGAAATCATCTCGCGTATAGGCACAGCCAACACCAGCAAGTGAATACTTTCGAATCGGTTGGTGGGAGGATACTCCGCGTTGATCTTTTCAACTTCCGTTGTAACACCGCGTGCATGACACGGACACGACGATAAGGCATTCGGCCGCAAAGCCGCAACACAAGCAGTTGCGGAGTAAATCACGCAGTAGTATATGTAAATGAGTGCAGGCCTAGAGGCGTTGGTGTTCTTCGGCCTTTCCCCCTTGCCTTCGCTTACCTCTCATCAACTATAAATTGCTATCCGATGCACGTTCATCCCAAAGAGTCAGCATAGCATGTCCAGAGGATACCCTTTTCCAATCCAATAAGTACCATTTCCGTAGCATTTATCGGGAATTGGGCGACCCAAAATGAAACTTTGTGGTAAGGATTAATCCTCCTTGCCTCATGTTGATGTCTCCCAGCACAGTTCCGTACACAATGCTGCAATGTCACGCTTGCTCCGAATTCCGCCACTCAGTTCAGCTTCCCAGAATATACCAGGATGCGAACAGTATCAACGAGGTGCCTGGGTATATCTGATACGTCAGCTCTCAATGGTACCTTGCCCGATGGCTCGTAGCGTACGTAGCGGCTGCTCCAGGTGAGTTCTGTAGTTGAACTATCCCTAGCACCTATATCCAGCTGAAACGTACTCAATTTCCTGCTGAGGATCCCGCATTATCTCCATCCATAAACGAAGCGGCTGCAATATTAGAGCCAAAGAAGTTGAATCAGTATCGATCACACCGCCTGCGATCCTACGAGCCTAGGCGAGCCAGAGTGAGAACATCTGCCAGACCTATGTTTTTAGATCTGGCGACCCCACTATTATATTGCGCTGGATGTATTCTAGCCTGACTGCTTTCGGTCCGGGTGGAGCTGGTGGGGTGAGAGTATACAGAAGCACGAGGCCGCCAATCTCATCGTTCCTAGGCTTTATTCGGGCACTTTAAATGGCTCGAGCGCAAGCTCCTCAAAGCCCAGCACTATCCGTTATGGCAGGAGACGATGAAAGACATTGCCCAACCATCCCAAATTTGGACGCATCGCCTCGGCCCCACATTTACGAACTCCGCGCAACCGAAGCCAATTATTTCTTTTCAAGTTGCATGTGCCTGATTACGACTCAATTCAGTGGTACAATGAATCCCGATCGATCTTTACTTCTCTTGGTGAGTCCAATCAGAGTTGTTGCAGACATTTTCTTTTTTGTGACGGAACGAGATTGGCGAGAGATCCCAGGTCAATCTGTCGCTGTCCCGGACCGCTGCTTTTGCATTTACCAAAACTCCGCCCGTTTGGGCTCTTGAATCTTCGGGGCTCTGTATGCTGGTGCATTCACCAACAATAGATGTCAGAGAATGCGTCCCGAGAGGTTCTTCCGATGAAATGCAATAGTCCAGACATTCATATATATACGGCAACTGATACGTACGTTGTTGCACTCCAAGGACACTACAATGAAACGTGTTCCCTTAGATACGTTTACCACAAGAGGCAATTCTCAGAGAGGTTGTTCTGGTCTCGCCTGGTTCAGGATTTTCTGCTGTAAGCAATCTGTGATAGGGCGTTTCCATGCCAATTTTTTTGGCTCTTCTGCGGAGTTGGGATGAGCGCTTCGGATGTTTTGTTCCGACAGGCTTTCCATACAAGGTTGCTTGGCCAGCTGACCATTCAATTCAACATCTAATTAACGGTGCAATCTCCCACTGCGATGAGGCACTTTCCCCTGCGCCCTCCGGCTTCTGGGGGTCGATTTTTAGCTTTCTAGCTCACGAATAACTGGGGAATTTCCCGCGGAGATTTGATCGGGATCGCTTCCGTACCAAGGGCATGCATGCTTCGGCTTTGTCCTTGGGCGCCCAACTTAACAACAGTGGCAACTCATTGCTATATTCATGCAATGGGGTTCTCTCTCCCTCTGGGGTGATGCATAGTGGCACAGTAACGTTCGGGACGCGAATCCGTCGTATCGCCCTCGGGTCCATTGCCTAGAGGAGAATTCCCCAAACCTGAATCAACTCCACCGCGACCCATTTACGAAGAGTTGTAGTAACACAATGCTGCACCTTAACAGGACATCCCTCGCGCGTTTCATTCGACGAGGGATGAGTTCACACATATTTAGTGAAGATAATGGCATTGCTTTCCCATCATTTCGCCATGGAAGCTTGCTTTGTTATTTACAGTGTATGAAGCCAAGTCTGTAACTTTGGCCATTGATATTCAAATATTTCAGCATAGGGGTGACGGATTAGGTATGTTGTAAGATTTGACCTTTTTTCTCCCTACTGAGAATGATCACAGAGACAGGGCATCGCAACGGGGGACAGGGTCGAAGAGTCGGATCGCGGTTCCCGCAGTTTTGGCGCGAGGCTCCCAGACGCACGGGGGTTAGACACCACCTCTGCCCATTTATTTGGGTAGTCTCATTCTCATATGCTCACTATGCCACGCCCCTGCCCTTGTGTTCAGCAAACTATGGCGGATCGGTCAATAACGGACAAAAGCCTACCCCAAACATGTTCTCAGTGGGATCGACATTTCACCCTGCATGCCGGGGTAGCTCAGTTTTTGCAGGCAGAAACTATGAAAAGCAGGATCATGTCGAATATTCTTTGTTCCCATCATTACCTCTACCGCATTGTCGGTCACCCCAATTTGGTTCATCGGCCAATAGCATCTCTCCCGAGTTTGATAACCCCGGATCCTACTAGATCTTGCTCCCACGCAATGAAACAGTTTTTGCTATTACTTAAAGAGGACGGATACTCATGACCTAATAGCATAGAAATGCGTGCGCGCGCTTCTTCTCTCCTTCCTTGTTCGGTCTCCGCAACGACCCCATTACCGCGCTGTTTTTCTCCGGTAAAACAGCTCCAAGAATCTGGATAAAATGCCAGATATGTTGCAAGCCCCCATCACTTACTGGTCCCCCTCCCATCCTAACAATTCCTTGCGGCGAAAACTTAACACACAACAGCAGTGTTCTCACCCACTACCTTCTTGCTACGCGTCGTAAATTCACTGTATGTACTCAGGGCCTTTACCTTTACCTTCTATCGCCAAAACCCCTCCTAAGCCTCGTGCTAGGGGGGTCAACAACTCTCCTCACTCATCGTGTTCATAATCCTCAGACTCCTATCACCAAATTGCTCGCATGTCAAGAGATCCCTCTGGCCCGGATGACATGGTCCCTACACAGCATGAGGCAGGTATGGTTCTGGGTGGTTGGCCACTAAGCTAACCGTCAATTCGCATGCGGATAGGGATCGTCCACAGAAACTGAGGATACATGTTCTCAGACTAGAGAATTCACTGGAGATAGCAACGGCTCCAATAACAATCAGGCTGCAAACGCTGAGGTGGGTGATTGGACTACCCCCTTTCCGCTATGTCTTTGTTGCTGATCAATAACTACAACCCAGAACCATGCCCCCGCTTCTGCGGAGGACGGTCCAAATCCCGTCGGTCTGGACAACCCCAACAATCCTTCTGCAGGTTGGTGGTTGCCTTAACTCCATCGTCGCTCAACATCAGCATGATTCCTTGTACAGGGGACCACGGTGTGTTCTCACCACACCCAGTCGACCAAATCCCGCCCCCACAGGATCTGGTTCGACGAAGATGGAGTGGACGACTCGGAGTTTCCGGCGCACCCCATAGACCAAATCCCCATCGATGAACGTTTATTCGTGTCTTTGCGCTAGGGTTTTCTCGAGCTAGTCTTGTGCGTGACACGAGCCAGGTTCAAAAACGCCACGCTGGGACATCAATAGTTGATCTCAATGGAATAAAAGTCACGCGTGACGCCAAGTCTAGGTCTCGATATTCACGTTTGCGAACAGCTGCCTTATGTACATATCACCGCATGCTCCTAGCGGTTCTTCTTAATGAGTTCCGCCCAACGCCTCACACAACTTTAGCCCCACGCTATACTTTTCAATTCGATCCGAAAGAAAAAGAAGCGTCTTAACCCCGCCCTTTACGAAAAGGAACAAGCGACCAAAAAACAAAGACCAGGAGCGGGGACACGGCCGCCGCCACAATCTCCCCAAATGAGGATCCGGATTGCCGTTGTGGAAAACTCTTAGGACTTCAGAAGCAGCTTATCTGGAACAATCCCCGCCATGACCTCCTGGGCAGGGGACCCCGAGAGCGATGCTCTTAGTACTACTAGCCGAGTTCTCGGCTGCCACGGGGCCATACGAGAGGCGAAGTGAGGATTTGTTGGGTTTTGATTGGATCACTCGACGTGAGTTCAGGTTGGGCCAGTTCTTGTTATTTGTTACGGGTAGCATGTAGCCTGAAAATCCACTGACATCCTGAGTAAGACCAACAAACAAATGTATTCGGCTTCCTGCACTGTATGTCTGGACCTCCTTCCACCTTCAAATCAAATATTCTTTCTTTTTGCCTTCTGTTACGCCTCTGAAGTTCTCTCCAAAGTGGGCATAGGCACTACCTGGTTCTTTCGGCTGTTTGCTGTTTCTGGGTATGCACTGTAATGTTCCAGCAAGCTGCTAGCCTATACAAAATATTTCAGTATGTGGCAATAGATCTGAGAATTGACTGATTACGAAACTTGTGTGGGTGCTCTTTCAATTGTGGCGTCTCCAGTTCCAGTTGTAATCCATCGAGTGCGAATATCAAAATCTCATATATTCCACACGTTCTGGTTCCCTCATAGTATGCATGCATCAACCCCGTATCGTCTTGGGGGAGATACCCCTATTCATGTTTCCGTGCTTAGCATTCTGTGCCACAACTCGGATAGGAATCAGCTTCATTAACTGCGCACCGGCTGTAAGGAGAGGCTATGTTCCCTTTGCGCCGCAACCCTCGTTGTCTCTGCGAGGCCCGCCAACTGCTGCAAAGATGCTCCCCCGAGCCAGTCAGGGCTTCATTCCGCTCGCACCGTCCGCATATAGATACATAAGGCGTGGATCGACTCGTGACGCCAAGCTCGATGTAACATATATATCGGTTGGCCCCCCCTCAGTGTCGATGCCACAACCGTATGAAAAACCATCGTAGATCATATCGGGTTTGTATGGGACCTGCAGTGATGAATTCAACCGTTCTGTTTCTCTGCTGGGCCACTGGTAGCATGCCAGTGACTATTCAGTCTGGCCTGGCTCGCGGGAGTAACCAAGTCTCACGCCGCCAATACATGCAACGCTAGCACCAAAATAGCATCGACAATTAGCCAGTTTACATATTGTATCATGACGGCAAATGTCCATTAAATTTATTGGTGCTCTTCCGAATCTCGAAGCATTTTTGCGTGTGACCATTATGAATTTTCAACTGCTGATCATGCGGCATAAATTATTAAATATGTGCGCGGGAATTTGAACGTCATAAGTATGTACTGGAACAGTCGACTGCCCAACACACGGTTCTTCGAATTTGAAACTGTGACTGGCAAAACTAGAAACTGTAGCGCTTTGAGAGACAGCAGGCTGTGAATAAGCACATTCAACGTTGGCCACTGGTGCAATTTGTTAGTTGGTTGAGCGTTGACACGACGTTCTTGGTTGGCACGTTGATCGGCCTCATTCGCGCATGGTTGTTTGTGTGGGAGGATACTCGGAATTGATATTTTTGTGGGTGACAAATCGCGCAATAGGAAGGTAAGAACAGGCCTAGAAATGCCAGCGTTCTTTTTAGATCTTCTCCTTTCCTTCGTCCGCCCCATCACATTAATTCCCATATGGAGTCTAAGTTACTGGTAAGGTATCTAATCACGCATCCTTTTGAGGTCCCAGGCCATGGCACAAGCCAAACTTTAGAACTTTGAGACCGATAGGAAGCATGCCATTGGTACTCGATGCACGTTCATCGCCAACGGAGTTATCCAGCATATTATGTCCAGACGAGACCCTTTCCAATACAATGGACGCCTTTTTTCCGAAAGTCTATTGTCAGAAACTGGTGGCCCAAATAAAGCCCAAAGTAAAACTTGATCTCCTGACGACAAGAATTGTGCCCACTCACACATCCGCACTGCATTCCCCCGATCAGCTCAACTTCCTGGAACAGATCAGGACGCGAATGGCAGCGACGAGGTGTTCGGGTGCGTCTGATGCACCGGCTACCAATTGTAATGTACTAAGTGACTGATTGCTGTATTACCCAACACCAAGCCAAAATACGACCTACTCCATAATAGGCACGCTGCACCTACACAGTGGCAGCCTGGAGCCTGTCACGCGTCATGCTGGCCTTGCGGTACGGCTCAAACGCAGCTTTTGTCACCCATCACCCTGGGTTTCCACCAGACGAATTGCGCCAGCACAATATGACAAGATCGAAAGATCGCGAAGAACACCGATTGACAGATGATCTAGTGATCTTACGAGCGCACTGATACTTTCACATGGGGCAGGACCCCAGCCTCTACTAGTATCACATGGGATGGGAATAATGCGGGGTTGTCAGCAGAGATTAATTGTGATCTGTAGTCACGGTCATACCCTTTCCAAAGTAAACACGGACGGGAGCCGCAAGCCTGCCGGCAGACTCCAGAAGCGTGACACGTGGCGACCGGCATTTTCCTACCACGTGTGACGTGGATTTGAAATTAAAAAAATTGAAAATTGCACAACTGCAAATGAACAGCTTTACTCTTGCTCACCAGCACGTTGAACCTATGCCAATGGCTAGTCCCCGCAGCCGCGAAGCCTCCAGGTTCAAGGGCAAGCAGATCATGAAGAGTTTGAATTGTTGGCTCACGCCACACTCCTCACAGGTGCAGAGACGCAAAGCTGGTCGTCGCCCAAGTCGGATTTGCTAAGCTTCTACAGTGCCGACGAAGAAGAGCCCGTTTATCGCAAGAAATATTTCCATAAGTGGGTGGAGAAGGACTGTAAGATCAAGTGCCTAGAGCATCTTGCGTATTGCCAGCGAAAGTTCTATGTCATTACTGCATGTTTGGAAGTGAAGAACGTCCTTACCGCTTCAGGGAATGATGACTCATTCTAACGGAATAACCGCTTGCTCTAATGCTAAAGCTCAGTCTCAAGCTAATGCGCGAGAACTATAATATTACCTAATGCTAAAGCTATAAGGTAATATACAATGAGTTACAATGTATAAGAAATCAGAGTAAAAGAATATTGTAACTAACCTCAGTCTCAAGCTAATGCGCGAGAACTGAGGGAAAAAGGAAACTAATCCAAATGAATGAATATAGTTTGTGGACCTCACGGATAAGTCCGAAGTGACTAAAATAGATAAGAAGAAAAAGGTGTTGTGACCAAGTAGTCACGCTACCGCGGGAATGTGGCTGTCCCGGCGAGTTCCTCGCTCGGATGTGGGAATGTGGCTGTACGGAAACTCCATAGCACACGGTTCCTCCAACACATTCTACCAAGGATTCTCGTCTAAGTTTAGACGCGAACTCGGGCACGACCTCAAGGTCCAAGGCCTGTGGTCTGATTCGACCCAGGGTCCTCATATGAGCGACGTTGTTGCTGTTGCACAAAAACTGGTCCGAGACGACTCAGCGCAATCTGGAGTTCAGAGCGACCCTACGCCTGAGTTTGGCGCAGAAACAAGTTCCAAAGTTCCACGCCTCCTAACAGTTCAGAGCAGCTCACGGATCTGAGCAACGTCCGCAGTGTGTGCGACATTCAGTACTCCGAGTCCAAGTCGAGCGGACAACCCGATGTCAACGCCAAATGTCACAGCAGTTCCCTTAGTGGAGTGGGCTGGCCTAGTCCCAGCCAAAGTCGAAGTCAGAAGCGCAAAAGCGCTGCAAACTGAATTGAGTCATGTTTACATTCAGTTCGAAGCCGAGCCATCCATCTCTTACGAGTCTGAATCAGATTCTAGCGATCAAGGGCCTGGAAGCTAGCGCTCATGATCAGCTACTAGAGAGCCTTGTTGTTGAAGTACCAGAGCTACGAGCAAAGGAGCTTAGGCCTGATTCGTGATTCGAGCTCTAGCCTTGCCCCCCCAAAAAACTAGATCCCTCGATCTGTCCCCTGGTATGATGAGTTGGTGCAACAACATCCCGGGACAAGAATCGGTGTGAATACACCCTTAGAACCCAGCCCAGAGGGCCCACAATTGCAATCCAACCTGCGGAGTAAGGGTTGGTAGTAGCACACGCGTGGCGCGGTGCCTTGAACATTCATGTTTTTTGCATTTTATTCAATCGAGTGATAATCCACATGTTAGTACTAAGTGGCTTTTTTCCCTCATCAATTCGCCATGGGCACATTCTTTGCATTCTTGCAGTGCACGAGGCCACTTTTGGGCGTTTAGTATTTAAAGATTCGTCGCACTATAGGCCATACCAATTAATGAGAGAAAGTTGTATCCGATCAATACCACCGTTGGTTGGGCCATTGATTAGCACACCAATTATAGAATACGCATGTTGTGGAAATTTTGCCCTTTGTTCCCTGCCTGGAATTTCGTGGGAGCTAGAGTCAAATTTGCGGTTCGTGCAATTAATTTACCCAAAGCCCCAAGATGCTGGAGGTGTTTGACACCACCTGTACTCATTTTGTAGAGGTATCCCTCGTTTTCACCGTCTCGTGGGAGTATGCTTAAACTACGCCACGCTTCCTGTCAGCCTCGTGTTCAGCGAAACTAATGGCAGGATTGGTCGATGTCGCGCAGAAGCCCCATATTAAGCCATAGGTCCGTTTTCTCACAGCCAGACAAAAACTATGAGAAGCAGGAATTCCATCGCTCCATATACCGCAGTATACTGTGTATGCCAGTCTTGTATATATCCAATCACCAAAAGGGGCGCTCGGGGCCGGATGGCAGGGTGTGTGCACACTTCCTCTTCCCCTTTCCATGTTTGAGCTTCGCGGTAAACCGTTTCCGCTCGGGTCCGGTGCTCCAAGATGCGACCGGAGAAGCCAGAGGTGGTATAAAGTCGCAAGTTCCATCACTCACTTTTACTCACTTATCCCCCCTCCTGCTGCCATTCGCCCCAACTGCTCTTTACTGCGAAAGGCGTATTTAACACACATCAGCAGTGTCCTCACTCACTGCGTCCTTTCGCTGTATGTACTCGGGGCCCATACCTTTAGCGTCTCGTCAAAAAATTTCCCTAACGCCGTCTACAATTTTCGTCACTCATCGTGAAGTTCAGAATCCTTCAAAGCCACCGTCGCCAAATTGCTCACATGTCGGGGAAGCCCTCTGACCATACCGGCCAAGACCCCTCGGCCCCTACACAACCTGAGGTTGGTATTGTTCCACGTAGTTAGCCACCTAAGCTAACTGTCAGATTAACGTGTGAAAAAGGGATCGGCGTCCAGAGACAGTAATGACGCGGGTTCCGGGCCTAGCGATTTGGCTGAAGATAATAGCAGATCCGGTAGCGATGAGGCCACGCACACTGAAGTCGGTGCAACTATCCTCCTTCCACTATATCCTCCTCCTTGGCTGATCAATTAGTATAGAATCACACCCCAGTTCCCGCAGAGGACCAGCCAAACCCCATCGGTCTGGGCACTCCGAATACATACACAGGTTAGTGGTCGCTTGAATTCAACCCAAAAACCATCGCTCAGCATCAGCAGGATATCCAGGGGCCAGCTTGAATGGGTTCACACCATACCCAGTCGACCAGGCCCCGCCCCCGAGGGCCGGGGAGTGGGTCGATGAACATGGAGTGAACGGGTTCCCGGCACACCCCGTAGACCAAATCCTCATTGATGCCAGCGACGACCAACGTTCCTAGTTTGTTCTACTCTTCATGTTGTTTGCAATTAGCATTCTGCCACGGCTTTATCGTGCTAACATACTGGGTGACCCCCTGATTGGTGGCATGCGAGTCCTCCAAGTAGCCTGATTTGAGTTCATCGGAGTCAAAAGCTTTACACTGGGTCAATCCCCCCCCCCTCCCCCAATATGCGCCATTCGTGACGCGAACCGTTGAGAACGTTTCCAACGTGACTCTTGAGTCCACCCCAATGGGAATATTTGAATACTGGAGTCTTGCCTTATATGTATGGACAAACACATCAATTCGTTTGCCAACAAAAGCTGGTATCTTGCTTGCCTAGTGCCATTCGTGGCTACGCTTGCACCGACCATGCCTCCACGAGACAATTGTATGACTTGAAACGGCATAGTATGGAGATATCTTCAAACTTGCGAGGGTGTTCATATGACGTCTCAAAGGCTCGGGACTCGATCGGCCACAGTTCCGGCTGCAATCCATCAATGAGAATGTCCAATATCAAGCCATTCCACACGTTTCGGTTCCTTCAAACTAGCGCTGGACACACACCCTCGTTGCGTGGATTGACCACCTTCCCACGAAGGTCCTCCTCTAATAACCCAGTCAGGGGCTCTATTCCATTGTCATATGTCATCCGTGACGACTCGAGGGTGACTCTCGACTCATGGTACCGGGCTGGATGCAACAGCAGACGCACGCCGACTGACCTGGCCCACTTTGGTGTGGGTGTCGTAAAGCCACCTCAACTTGGTATCATGGATCATCGATTCAGTACGTGATGATGGTGAACCGTTCTACTCTCTGCCGGGGGAGCAGGCCAGCGGTCATTCAGTCTGGCCTCATGCGAACAACCAAGGGCCCGCGCCGTGCCGCTAGCAAGCGTGTTGTCCGGAGAAGGTGCATCTGTTGAAATAACCACCTCAGCCTAACAGGGCGTATGGTGTAATGGCAGTGCACGCTGAGTTCGCGATCCAATCGACTGGAGTTCGATTCCCAGTATGTCCAACTTTTAGGTTTCCCTAAAAGACCACGTGCAAATTCCAACAGCATCAAACTGCAGTTCTTTTAGCTAAAAAAATAGGAAGACTTGTAAATGATCCTCGGAGGTGAACCATGGACCCTTTCGTCACTTCAATGGATTCACGTGAAGAAGTTGGGAATTATTATTATTATTTTTGTCAAAACACCTATTTCAACTTACCATTGCGGATGCTCTTCCGGAACCCCTGAGTGAGGCCATTTACGACTTTTGATCAAGTTCCTGGTCATGTGGTCCGCAGGATTCTTGCATCGTGATGTACTAGGAAGACGAGTTTTTGATCGATTTTGATCGATTTGGTGTGGCAGAATGGTGCGGAGCAACAATGATACACAATTTTTCAAACTTGAAAACCGCAACTGTACGAAATGCTGAAGATATTCATGGTTGCGTTGAGGGAGACACCACGGCATGAACAGGCAAACGGGTAACATTTTCATGTCACGGTTCTTGGCTCCACCTTTGTCTGAATGAATGGAATCGGGTGGCTGTTCACTGGCCTGTGATAAGTGCAGGCATTCAATCGCCCAAGCCGCACAGTTTCAGTTTTGATCAACAGGCTGCTGCGGGGAAAATCACGCAACTGTAACTCAACCTAGGGTCAGTGTTCTTTTCGCTTAGCTCTCCTAGCTTGCTTGTCAAAAGATGGCAAGAAAACTTGCCCGCTCAGTTTGCGATCAATTCCTGCATCAATTTCACAAGTTAGGGGGCTTCTAGCTCTCATGCCTCGAGGCCCCATGAAGTTAACAACCCAAATATCAGCACTTTGGGAATGATGAAAAGCATGCGATTGCTATCTGATGCACGTTCATCGCCAATTTGCTATTCAAGATCTCAGCTAACGTGCTCAGAAACCCTAACAGATTCAGGAGTACACATAATTTGTCGGAAAACAGGCAATTCGGATCAGACCCAAAGTGGCGGACTAATTGTGCTCGCCTCATGTTGACGCCGCACAGCGCGCGCTCTAATCACACATCGACACCCATGCATAACACGCCCACACCGCGTTCCGCCCATCAGCTCGACTTCTTAGATTACACCGGGATGAGAAGAGCAGTAACGAGATGTTCGGGCACACATCTGATAGTCCGACTCCCAATAATGCTTTTGCCCGGCGGTCCGCGATTATACTGAAGCGGGTACCAGATAGCGACGTAATCCCTGCTGACGATCCATCCGCGAGCACAGCACTTACATGATATGTACCAACTCGCCCTCCGGGCCAAAGTGGGGCACATCTGCCAGGACGTTTTCCAACTTTGCTATGAAGCTGAGGGAATTTGAATTCCCTTCGCACGTTATAGCCAAGCGACAATGAATGTTGATTAGCCCTAAGCGACACAAGCGACACAATTCAGTCCCCTTCAATGCGGATCTCGATCAATCTTTGCTCCCTTAAGAGGTTAATCACCATCTGAGCTTCTATTTAGGCAAGTAGGAAGACGCACTCAGAAACCATCCCCGAGGTTTTTCCGTTCCATGTCCCAGTATCTCATGCTATTACCGCGACCGTGCGTATGAAACCATCCCCTTACGCCTTAACAGAAAACCAATCGCCGTACGAATCCGATAGGTCCGACGCCCAACTTTCGCATATTGTTGGTTTGTTGTTAAATAATAGTTTCCAGCGGCCAGTTAAACCACACCCCATTCTCCTCAGAACCCTACTCATCCTCTGAACCCCGGTCAAAAGGCGTCAGCGCACAAGACGAATCATTCATATGTCCCAGAGCCAAGAACGTGTCAGCGAACAAGAGGTCGAGGTCCTTCCCCATATTGTTTAAACCATAGTTGCCCATTCTGGGACATTTTCAAATCATAAGTGGAGAAGGGGGTGCCGTCTCCCGTCACACAGAACCCAATAATCAAGGGCGGGGTATGGAACAGAGAGGAAGTGACCCAAGTAGGACACTCGTTTACCCCCCCGACCATGTTTCGTTACCCCTTTACAGAGAAGTGATTCAGCGCATGCGAGCCAAACGATCAACTTGTCCAGAAACAACTCTAGCATGACCAGCAACATTCAATGCGACAAGATCTCAATTCCAGAGACCTGGCACTGGCAACCATGTGTTTCCGGCACATTCATCTGATCAAGTCACTATGCAGGGCGTGCCAGCAGTGGATCAGAATGAAAACATGCATCGAAACGAGTTCTTCATGATGGCGTATCCTGTAGATCGTGCATGGCACTAGTTGCAGTAATGCCAGTGATGATGATGATGATGATGATGATGATGATGTTTTCATTTTAGAGTACGTAACTGTGCCTATCGGCATATGCCGTACTATGATGACACGGGTGAAAGATGTTTGAGACATAGGTGAAATGGTGTGGGTCTTGTATCTAGGTGTGAGTGATGCATCGAGATTCGGAAGGTAGGGGGGAAAATAAAGTGAAGTAATAACACAAAGGAGAGGTGCATGGCACCCTCGGCGTGTGTTCACGGAGGTGGTTGGTAGTTGGGGAGAGTCGCGTGTATTAGGAAGTGGGAGTAAGAATAGGTTAGAAATGAAGTATGGATGGGGCATATGCGTATAAAGTGGTCTATGTCATAGGTAAGGGAGAAGAAAAGAGATAAGAAAAGAAAGACAAGTTGAGAGTTAGGTGCCCGCAGATTGCGTTGCATACAAGGGGAAGCGCTCCGTTTCGCGGATGAATCGGGAGGTGTGTGGGATGACCTTCGGGTGGGAAAGCAACTGGGTCAGATCAAAGGCTTTGATAGATTTGTCCTTGATGGAGGTCAGAATAATGGCCCTCTTTAGCTTAAGACGTTCGCGGGAAAAGCGGCGGCAGGTGAAGAGGTAGTGCTCTACCGATTCGGGTTCTGAGCACAGTGGGCAGTCAGGTGAGTTGGTCCGTTTCCACCTAGCTAAATAGGCGCGTAGAGCAGTGTGTGCAGAGCGTAGCTGGAAGAGGATGGATGACATGCCCCGTGGTAGAGTTGCCGTGGTCTTTATAAACATGCCAGGCTTCTGCCAGTGATGATGTGCAATCATGCGACTGTATACTGTTGCTTCTTGAATCACGGGCGACTCATGTAGAATGACGATGTAGCCACTTTTGCGACTAGTGTAGCAAAAGCAGCGAGCACACCACGTGTCGCTGCAGATTGTAACAGTGTGAGCGCCCGTCTTATCGAGGTTCGTTCGATCGAGAAAGGGAATCTCCTATTCAATTCCTGCACGCATCATCTTCAACATTTTATGTAATTCAACCACGATTTTGTATTCACGGCTGATGGCCCACTACGTAGTACTTGAGCACAATACCATCAAAGGCAACGCCTATACAGTGAGGACCTGGTCGATGTTGGGCTTGGGTCTCTGCCGTCCTTGAGAAGGAGCCTGATGGGTGTGGCGCAGGGGACGTCTGAGGAAGGCGCGTCGCTAGAGCCACCGATGATGAGCCTGAGGCCGCCGATGCGTCCGGGGCTGTCGACAGCACGAGGAAATGTTGTTGTTGGCGCGACCGACGGCCAGGCAGTGGTGTTGGCAGAGCTTGAAGGCCCCACGGGTCGTTGTTCAATATGGTCGCGTGGAAGTCAGTTTACGCATCTCCTCATCCGGAATGATGCCCTTGAGCTTTAAAAGACGGTCGTGCGGATACTTGAAAGAAGGGAGGGGGATTACACGCCCAGCTCGGAGTCGAAACGTCCTGATTGTGCGCTTTCATCGCCCTCCCTTCGCCACGTCCAACGCGTCCTGGGCCTTCTGGCGCCCCTTGTCCGGCTTCCGGGCCATCCCTTCAACCGCACTAAGACATCCCTCCTGATACTTGCCTTGGCTCCAATCTTGGCCTGAATCGATTCGGGGTACTTGGCGAACCCTGCATTGCCAAAGAGCGTGACGTTATGACAGCGCTGGTTTTTATTCTTATGCTCGAAAGGGCTCGTTCTTGCTCTTGTCCGGCATAAGGACAACGTTGGCGAAACGGTGGCAAGGAGAAGAACCTTCTTGGTACTTCCCGCCGTTGGAAAGAAAGAAACCGTCGGTTGCCCCCACCAGTGCAAGGCGTAGACTAGGTAGAGGATGGGGAGACCGAGCGAAGTGGTAAGAGGTTCGCGGGTATCAATGGGTGTAGTTGGAAGAGAAGATTGGGCGGAGGAGGAGTTTGGGACGTTGGGCCTAGCGCGGGTCACAACCGAATACCCTGATCTCGACGTTGAGGTCGACCTTGTTGAGGTCCCAAATCCCGAATCCGAGGCAGCCAAAGCACCGAAGAGGTGCAGGATGTAGACCCTAGGACTGCCTGTAGACCCACCACCGGCGTCCCCCATCGATATCGATGTTGTATCTCCATTGTGGGGGGTTGGGTTTCGCCATTCCACGTTGGGTGATACAACTGATATTGCGAAATGGGGCAAGGAACGGACAGAGCGCGGGGAGACTTTCGTGAAGCTGACTTTCTAGTCGCTGAAGAAGCAAAGCGACGAGGACGAAAAGGTTCTTTCTTGCTCGATCGTGGTCTGAACCTAATGGAGCTCTGAATTAGAATATTTAGGGATGGAACCTATGGGGGAATGACTTATCTATGAGTTTTTGACGCGCCAGTGGGCAACAAACTAGGCAGACGATTCATCCCAAGGGTGCTAAACGCGTCATGACCGGGCTGTGGGCTAAGGACTTTTAATGAGACTGAAAGGAAGACCTTCGGCTCTGCGTCGACAATATTGTCTAGTGCCGTGACGGCGGTTGGTATCGTGATGCACAGCCACGTCCAGACTGCCTCGCAAACACATGGCTCTCAAACCATTGGTGGTCTACTCACTGCCAATATTTCAACTCTTGTCAGAGGTCATAGCGACGTCCTACTGAATCCCTGTGCTTTATATTCCAGCGTACGATTCCCTTCACCTCTCCCTCGAACGCGGTGATTATCCCCACGCTAGGGAGCTATGTGTCGCGGCTCTTTACTCTTAGTGATGTTCATTACATGAATAGAAAGACGTTCTTTGTCAATTTCCATTCATCAACGTATTTTTGAACCGGCCAGGGCTTCATTCGGCAATCGACACAACATTGAACTCGCCAATCCCACGTAAACGTGCTCGTCTACTGCTGCATCAAGTATGACCTGCGAATGGAATGTTTATTGATTCAACTTATTGCGGGCGCTTCTTCCGAACCACCCCGTCATGTAACGGCCACGGCTGCGGATTATATGGTATATATGGATATGTCTGTGGAATCCTTGCATCGTGATGTGAGGGACCGGTTTTGGACCAATTGGCCATATTCAACGCCACGGGTGCGCACACGATTTTTCAGTCGCGACTGGCAAGACTGGGAATCATGTCGCGTACAGGCACAGCCAACACCAGCAAGTGTTCGAAACGGTTGGAGTGGGGGGATACTCAGCGTTGGCGTTTTCAACTTCCGTTGTAACACCACGTGCATGACACAGACATGGTGATAAGACATTCAATCGCGAAGCCGTGACACAGGCTGCGGGGTAAATCACGCGGTAGTATATATAAATGATGTAAGTCCAAGCCTAGAGGCGTTAGTGTTCTTCAGCTTTTCTCCTTTGCCTTCGCTTACCTCTCGTCAAATGACAGCCAATAAAAGTTACCGTCCAATTGCTATCCGACGCACGTTCATCCCAAAGAGTCAGCATATCATGTTCAGAGGAGACCCTTTTCCATTCCAATAAGTACCATTTTTGCAGCATTTGGGCGGCCCAAAGCGAAACTCAATTTCTTTGTAGTAAGGACTAATTGTCCTTGCCTTATGTTAATGTTTTCCAGCGTGGTCCCGCACACAATGCTGCAATGACACCTAATGACACACTTGCACCGAATTCCGCCACTCATTTCAGCCTCCCAGAATATACCAGGATGCGAACAGCACCAATGAGGTGCCTGGGAACATCTGATACGCCAGTTCCCAATGGTACCTTGGCCGATGGCTCGTAGTGTACGTGGTGGTTGCTCCGGGTGGGTCTTGCAGTTGAACATCTATATCCAGCCGAAACGCGGTACTCAATTCTTGCTGAGAACCCCGCATTATCTCCATCCATAAGCGAAGCGGCTGCAATATTGGACCCAGAGAAGTTGGGTCAGTATCGATTACACCGCCTGCGAACCGAGCCTAGGCGACCCAAAGTGAGGACATCTGCCAGATCCATGTTCGGCGTTTTTTCAGACCCGACGACCCCACTATTATATTGCGCTGGATGTGTTCTAGCCCGATTGCTTTCGGTCCGGGTGGGCGACAGGTGGAGCTGGTGGGGTGAGAATATACAGAAGCACTAGGCTACTAATCCTATGCTTCTTCCGGCACTTTGACTGGCGCGAGCGCAAGCTTCTCAAAGTCCAGCATATGGAAGGAGACGACAAAAAGACAGGGCCCAACCATTCCAAATTGGACGCATCGCCTCGGCCCCACACCTACGAACTCCGCGCACCGAAGCCAATAATTTGCTATTTCTTTTCAAGTTGCCTGATTACGACTCAATTCAGTGGTACAATGAATCCCGATCGATCTTTACTTCTCTTGGTGAGTCGTTATTGCCGACATCTTCTTTTTTTTCACGGAACGATAATCTGTCGGTGTCCCGGACCGCTGCTTTTGCATTTACCAAAACTCTGCCCGTTTGGGCTTCTTGAATGTTCGAGGCTCTGTATGTTGGTGTATCACCAACAATAGATGTCAGAGAATGCGTCCTGGAGGATTCTTCCAATGAAATCAAATAGTCCAGACGTTCATATTTACGGCAACTGATACGTCCTTCGTTCCACTCCAAGGACAGCAGTATTAAGAACACTACAATGAGACATAGATGCGATAACCACAAGGGGCAATTCTCCTGGTCTTGACTGGTTCAGGATCCTCTGCTGCGAGCAATCTGTGATAGGGCGTTTCCATGCCAATTTTTTTGGCCCTCGGGGGCTCTTCTGCGGAGTTGGGATGAGCGTTTTGGATGTTTCGTTCCGGCAGGCTTTCCATATAAGGTTGCTTCATTCAATTAATGGCGCAATCTCCCACTGCGATGAGGCACTTTCTCCTGCGCCCTCGGGCTTCTGGGGGGTCTGTTCCCAGCTTTCTAGCCCACGAATCACTGGGGATTTTTCGCGGCGATTTGATCGGGATCCCCCTCTGCACCAAGGGCATGCATGCTTCGGCTTTGTCCTTTTGCATTCCTACATAACAACAGTGGCAACTCATTGCTATATTCGCTGCAATGGGGTCTTCCTATTCGGGGTCGATGTCCCAAGAAATCAGATCCCTCTATCATCCTTCCCTCTGGTGTGATGCATAGTGGCACAGCAACGTTCGGCGAGACACGAACCCGTCGTATCGCCGCATCAACTATGCTCTTGGAACTCGGGCCCATTGCATTGACGAGAACTCCCCAAACCTGAATCAACTCCACCGTGTTAGGAAGAGTTGCAGTGACACAGTGCTGCACCTTGACCTCGCGTTTTATTCAATGAGTGATAATTCACATATATTATATTCAGTGAAGATAACGACCTTGCTTTCCCATCATTTCGCCATGGAGGCTTGTCTGGACATATTATTTGTATATTTATAGTATATGAAGCCAAGCCTCTAACTTTTGGCTATTGATGTTCAAATATTTCAGCACAGGGGTGACGGATTAGGTATGTTGTAAAATTTGACCTTTTTCACCCTACTGAGAATGATCACAGTGACAGGGCATCGCAATGGGAGCAGGGCCGAAGAGCCGAGTGGCTGTTCCTGCAGTTTTGGCGTGAGGCTCCCGGTTCAGACACCACCTCTACTCATTTATTTGGATAGCCCCATTTCCACCGTCTTGCATATGCTCAAACTATGCCACGCCGTGGTTCAGCGAACTATGGTGGATCGGTCAATTACGGACAGAAGCATTACCTATTCCGCATTGCCGGTCGTGCGTTCATGCCCCCAGTTTGGTTCATCGGCCAATACCAAATTATCACATCTCTCCCGAGTTTGATAACCCACTCCCGCACAAAACAGTCTTTTTTGCTATTACTTAAAGAGGACAGAGCCCATGACCTAATAGCATAGAAATGGGTGTGCGCGCGCTTCTCATGTTCGGTTTCCTGCAGCAACCTCCTTACCGCTCTTGCTGCTTTTCCCCAATGAAACAACTCCCAGAATACGGCTAGAAAAAGCCAGAGACGATGCAAGCCCCATCGCTCACTGGTCCCCTTCTATTCCCCTCACACATCAGCAGTGTTCTCACCCGCTACCTTCTTGCTACGCGTCGTAAATTCACTGTATGTACACAGGACCTCTACCTTTAGCTACTCTCGCCAAAACCCTCCTAAGCCATCTGCATCGTGCTGGGGGGGTCAACAACTCTCATCACTCATCGTGTCCATAATCCTCAGACTCCTATCACCAAATCGCATGTCAAGAGACTCTCCCTCTGGCCTGGATGACATGGTCCCTACACAGCATGAGGCAGGTATGGTTCTGGGTAGTTTGCCACTGAGCTAACCGTCAATTCGCATGCGGATAGGGATCGTCCACAGAAACTGAGGATACATGTTCGGAGACTAGGGAAGATAGCAGCGGCTCCAATAACGATCAGACTGCACATGCTGATGTGGGCGGCCGAACTACCCCCTTTCCGCTATGTCTTCGTTGCTGACCAATTGGTCCAATAACGACAATCTAGAACCATGCCCCCGCTTCTGCGGAGGACGGTCCAAACTCCGTCGGTCTGGACAACCCCAACAATCCTTACTCAGGTTGGTGGTTGCCTTAACTTGCTGAACGTTTCCGCTCAACATCAGCGTGATTCCTTGTACAGGGGACCACGGTGTGTTCTCACCGCACCCAGTCGACCAAATCCCGCCCCAACAGGCTCGGGAGTGGTTCGATGAAGTGGACGACTCGGAGTTTCCGGCGCACCCCATAGACCAAATCCCCATCAATCAACGTTTCTGGATGATTCGTGCTTCGTGACTTTACACTAGGGTTTCTCGAGCTAGTCTTGTATGTGACACGAGCCGGGCTCAAAAACGCCGCGCTGGGACATTGATAATATTTAATCTCGATGAATAAGTGTCACACGCAGCGCGGGGTCTGGGTCCCAATATTCATCCGCCTTATGTATATCCCTGTTAATGAATTCCGCCCAACACCTCGCACAACCTTAGTAGCCCTGCGCCATACTTTCCAATCTGGCCCGAAAGAAAAGGGTGCGTATTAACTCCCCCCTTTACGAAGAGGAGAAAGCGAAAAGCAAACCCGAAAGACCGAGAGCGGGAACTTGCCGGGACACGCGCGCCATCCATGACCACAATGTTAGGGCGCGCAAGACCCTTAATGGTAGAGACGTTCTTGGAAGCGAAGTTGGCGCCGTCCGCATCGGCTTCGCTCGTGTCCCTGTTAAGGGTGGCACACCTGGTAGTAGGGCGGTGAAGGAGAGCTGTCCGAGACGAACAACGATTCAACGTACCCCGATCCCCAATGAAAAAGATGTTAGTGATCGCCTTTCGCGCCTCGAAGCGCGTGAATGGTTTCACCAACACTTGGCCACATTGGCAAGTCAGAGGAGTATAGCTTGGGTACTAATTGGGCCACTCGAACATTCATGAGTTCAGGGTTGGGCCCGTTCTTGTTCTTTGTTGCTGGGGGCATGGCATAAGCACTGCTCCATGTTTCTGATTCTTTCGGCTGTTCGGAGCTGCTGTTTCTGGGCATGCACTGCAATGTTCCCGCAAGCTGCTAAATATTTCAATATATCTGAGAATTGACTGATTACTGTATATGGAACTTCTTTTCTGGCGTCTCCAGTTCCAGTTGCGATCCATCGAGTCCGATTCGAATATCAAAATCTCATACATTCCATACGTTCTAGTTCCCTCATAGGATGCATCAACCCCGTATCTTCTTGGGGCAGATCCCCCTATTCATGTTTCGGTGCTTAGCATTCGGCGCCACAACTCGGATAGGAGTCAACTTCATTAACTCCGCACAGGCTGTAAGGAGAGGCGATGCATGTTCCCTTTGCACCGCGACCCCCGCTGTTTCTGCGAGGCCCGCCAACTGAAAAATGCTCCCCGAGCCAGTCAGGGCTTCATTCCGTTCGCATGATATCGTTCGCATAAGGCGTGGTTCGATTCATGACGCCGAGCTCGATATAGCATATCGGTTGACCCCCCCCTCTCAGTGTCGATGTCACAACCATATCAAAAATATCATCAATCATATCGGGTTTATACGGACTTGCAGTGATGAATTCAACCGTTTCTGTTTCTCTGCTGGGTCAGCAGGCCAGATCATTCAGTCTGGCCAGGCTCGTGGGAGCAACCAAGTCTCACGCCGCCAATACAACGCTAGCGCCAAATTACACAGCATCGATGATTAGTTGTTCAACTTTCAGCCCAAGTTGTTGGTGAATTCAATTCATTGTGTCAAATTAATGTCAAATGTCCATTAAACTCATTAATGGTGCTCTTCCGAATCTCGAATCTCGAAGAATACATACTCGTTTTGTCGCGGTTTTCCGACGTATATTTTGGATTTGAAAATTGCATAACTGCACCCTCTCACCAAAATCCACAAAAAGTGTCAAATGGACAAGTTCACTCTTGCTCACCACATCACATCGTGCACTATTTGGGCAGCGACAACATTCCTGACAGTCTTACCACAGCCCAATGGCGCTCTAGGCAGGTGACCAAGCCAGGCCTTGGAACCTTTTCATTCGCTCGATTCAGAAACTGGCAGATCATTCCACTATCGAACAGGTAATCCGATCTGATCCTCAGAAGGAAACCAGGGAGGCAAGGTAATTCAGCAGCCTCCATCTTTCGCCCTTCCAATTATGAACGTTACAATATGTTGTAACATGGAATTCGAATCGGTCTCCTAAGCTCTAACCGAAGGGGAAGACATTTCGCACTTGACTGGCTGTGTGGAGATTGCGGATCACAGGCCACCAGCGCGGGAGTGCCGCATTGTGTGATTAGGTATCTTCAGAACACTACGTAAGCCTTGAGCAGCTTCATAAGGGACGCCCAACACCATCCTCCCAAAGGGGGTAACTGCTGGCGGCCGGGCTGTTCCTACTCTGGTATTCGGCATCTCAACATTGGTATGGTGTGTGGTGGGCAATGAGGGATCGGTCAAGTTATGGCCAGATGTCTCATCCTATCCACTGGTAGGCGCATACTACGGGACGACAACCGCAGAAGAGGATACCAACACACCAAACAGGGAGAGCGAAGGAGCGAAAGCATTGAGGAGAGGAGGGCGTGATCAGGTCAGACCCCCCACTTATCTCCTCCGCTAAGGGAGCTCACTTGCTCGCTGATCCGAAGTGCCAATGTTGATGCCATAGACTTGGTTCATGCGAAGTTGTTTCTGCATCCAATTGATCAGACAGCTTTATTGGGATGGCTTAAGGCACAAGGATCCATGGAAAGGCGTGAATCTTTGCACATTTAAGGACCAGGTTAAGGTATAGGACATCGAGCAAGCCGTGTTAAACTTCTAGCCACTCGTTGTGGCTAGTGTAGATAGCGCAGCGTCTACCGTGGAGAAGCTGCCTAATGATAAGGACACCAACGAGCACTATAAATTACAGGTAAAGAGGATCAAGAACATCGAAAGGTTGGTAGATGTTCAGAAATACAGTATTGCAGGCGAGGCCGACAGATCGTGCGAATCATGAGCGCGTGACCCGTAATACGAGAGTTAGCGCTACTGGCAGGGTGCCCCAGTATAATCAAAGGCTCAGATCCTCCTGTACACTAAGCCAGCGCGGTTATGATCGAATCGGGAAGACGAAGAGGGAAGTATCATAATCTCGTTCATCGTCACAGGGCAGTGCATACCGTCAGGTTCTCAGCCAAAATTTGCAATGACGTGACAGCATTTTTCGGAGGCCGGAGTTGGCCGAACTTGGTCGTCGGATTTGCTGTGCTTCCACAGTGCCGACGAAGAGCCCGTTTATCGCAAGAAAGATGAGTGGAGAAGGACCATAAGATGAAGTGCTTGCGTGTTGCCAGCGAAAGTTCCATGTCAAAGTTGCTGCATGTTTGGAAGTGAAGAACGTCCTTACCGCTTCAGGGCATGATGACTCATTCTACCAAGGATTCTCGTCTAAGTTCAGACGCAAACTCGGGCACGACCTCAAGGTCCAAGGCCTGTGGTCTGATTCGGTCCAGGGTCCTCATATGAGCGATGTTGTTGCTGTTGCACAAAAACTGCTCTGAGGCGACTCATACGGTGTCAACTTCAGTGTCAAGTCCGAGCCATTTCCATGCTCCAGAAAGGACAGTGGTGACGAGCCAGTTGATGACTTGGCCGACCACGGAAGTGGTAGCGCTAATTCACATCAGACAGCAAAACCTCAAGGGTTCCACACAGAACTGTGTTCCCAGCACTCCCAATCCAATCTGGGGTTCAGAGCGACGTTATGCCTGAGTTTGGCGCAGAAACGAGCTCCAGTGTCCAAGAAGATTCCATGGTTCCTAGCAGTTCAGAGCTAGGCAGGATACCAGCCTCTATAGATAGAGTTCAGAGCAGGATCCCACGGATCTGAGCGACGTCCGCAGTGTGTGCGACATTCAGCACTCCGAGTCCAAGTTGAGCGGACAACCTGATGTCCACGCCAAAAGTCCCAGCAGTTCCCCTAGTGGAGTGGGCTGGCCCAGTGCCAGCCAAAGTCGAAGTTAGAAGCGCAAACGCGCTTGCAAACTGAATTGAGTCATGTTCACATTCAGTTCGAAGCCGAGCCGGTTTGTGACGAAATAGTCGTACGGTTATGGAAGGTCTATGAGGAAAGAGTCCGTCTCAGCCTCAAGCGTGATACGACTATGAGAACTGAGGAAAAGAAAATAAATGGAGATATCCGCCGTAGTCTGTCGCGGACAAGTCCGAAGTAATAGAAAAGAGGAAGTGATCATGTGGCACATAAAACATGTCACATGTTGATAACAGCACGTGCCTTGTGGCACGGTTGTTGCGCTGCTCCTCCAACAGTTTGCTGCATCCAACTTTTACGAGTCTGAATCAGATTCAGCTAGCACTCATGACCAGCTACTAGAGAGCCTTGTTGTTGAAGTATCAGAGCTACAAGGAAAAGAGTTTAGGCCTGATTCGAGCTTTAACTTTGCCCCCCTAAAATCGAACTGGCCTCTGGTACGATGAGTTGGTGAAACAACATTCCGAGACACAAGGATCGGTGTGAATACACCCTTGGGACCCCGCCCAGGGGGCCCACAATTCCAATCCAACCTGCATAGTGAGGGTTGGTGGTGGTAGTACACGCGTGGCGCGGTGCCTTGTTTTTTTTTTTTTGTTTTGGTATCTTATTGAATCGAGTGATAATCCACATGTTAGTACTAAGTGGCTTTTTCTTCCTCATCAATTCGCCAGGGGCACACTCCTTGCATTCTTGCAGTACACGAGGCCACCTTTGGGCGCTTAGTATTTAAAGATTCGTTGTATGGGCCATACCAATTAATGAGACTTTGCGGGGGAACTTAGTCCGTCAACACCGCCATTCATGTAGCCAACAGCTGGGCTATTCATTAGCACGACCAATTATGGATTACACATGTTGTGAAATTTTTGCCCTTTGTTCCCTGTCCGGAATACGTAGCTTACACTTCTTCGGAGCTGCACAAGGGGCCTCATGCACCGCACTAGAGTCAAATTTGCGGGTCATGCAATTAATTTATCCAAAGCCCCAGACGCTGGAGGTGTTGACATCGCCTCTACGCATTTTGTAGGGGTATCCCCCGTTTTTCACCGTCCTGGGTATGCTCAAATCATGCCGCGCTCCTTTGTCTGCCTCGTGTTCAGCGATCGGTCGGGTGTCGGGCAGAAGCCCGAATTCATATCATTTTCTCGGACAGGAGCTATGCACCCTTTTATGTTGAAAACTCTCCGTACGCATCGCTACGCATATACCGCATGTGCCAGTCTTGTATTCATTCACCAAAAAAGGGGGTGGAGACACATGGCCAGATGACATGCGTGCACGCACACGTTTCCCTCTTTCCATGTTTGGGCTTCGCGCTTCGTGGTAAAAAAAACCTTTCCAGCTGCTCCTCTCCGCTGCAAACAGCTCCAAGATGCAATCAGAAAAGCCAGAGGTGATATATAAAGTTGCGCAAGTCCCACCACTCACTTTACCCACTTGTTCCCCTTCTGTTGCCATTCGCCCAAACTGCACTTCGCTGTGAAAGGCGTATCCAACGCACATCAGCAGTGTCCTCACTCATTGCGTCGTCTTTTCGCAAATTCACTGTGTGTGGTCAGGGCTCATACTTTTAGCGTCTCGTCAACTTTTTTTCCTAACGCATCGGCAACTTTCGTCACTCAGAAATCCCTCAAAGCCACCGTCACCAAATTGCTCGCATGTTGGAGGGGCTCTCTGACCGCACCGGCCAAGATCCCTCGGTCCCTACACAACCTGAGGCAGGTATTATTCCATGCGGAATTAGCCACCTAAGCTAACTGCCAGATTAACGTATGAAAAAGGGATCGGCGTCCAGAGACAGTGATGACGCGGGCTCCGAGCCTAGCGATTTGGCTGAAGATAACAGCGGTTCCGATAACGATGAGGCTACGAATGCTGAGGTCCGTGCAACTAATTCCCCTTCCGCTATATCCTCCTCCTTGGCTGATCAATTAGTTCAATAGAATCACACCCCAGTTCCCGCAGAGGACCAGCCAAACCCCTTCGGTCTGGGCACCCCGAATACTTACGCAGGTTAGCAGTGGCCGCTTTGACTCGCTCAACACCATCGCTTAGCATCAGCAGGATATCCATATACAGGGGCCAGCAATGGGTTCACACCATACCCAGTCGACCAGACCCCGCCCCCGAGGGCCGGGGAGTGGATCGATGAACATGGAGTGAACGGGCTCCCGGCGCACCCCGTAGACCAAATCCTCGTTGCCAGCGACCAATGTTTCTAGTTTTGTCTACGCTTCATGTTGTTGCAATAAGCATTCAGAGCGCTAACCTTCTTGGTGACCCCTGAGTAGTTGGTGGTGTGCGAGTCCTCCAAGTAACCTGATTGGAGTTCATCGGAGTCAAAAGGATTATACTATGTCGATCCCCCCGTGTGTGTGTGCCGATGACGCGAACCGCTGAGAACGTTGCCAACGTGACTCTGCAAATGGAAATTTGAATACCGCCCGGATGCGAATGGTAACACATCTCTGAGTTTTGCCTTATATAGACGCCACTCGTGGCCACGCTTGCTCGCCTCCATGAGACAATCATATGGCGTAATGCCACAGCCTAATTCTTCCAGTTGAAGATTCAGATCGTCGCTGGCTGTGGAGAAGTCCTTGGGGATGAAAGAACACAATCCCACTGGCATTGAGTGTGAGTATTTGAATTGCGACGATCCCCGCTCCTGGCCGCAAGCGCCGGAGCATACAAAAACACAGAAGAACTGGTAAGTGAGGATTCGTCAAAGGTGTAAGATCTGGGTTTAATGAAATCCGAGGAGAACGAGCGGACGAGCATACAGACACTTTACCCTACTGCCGTGTATTCGAAATTCCTGGTGTTAGCGCGTGGGAAACGGGCTTGTGCATTGGCACACTAACAAGCATCCTGTAGCTTGAAGAGTTAATATCCCGGGTGGGGTTCCAGCTTCGATTCATCAATGAGAATATCAGGAGTCTTTTATGGAGATTTGTCTTAGGTCAGTTCCTCCTGTTCATGCTTCCACACTCAGCATTTTGCTAGATGGGAATCAGATTTATTAACGGCCTGTGCACACATATAATCCAGTCAGGGGCTCGATTCCATTTTCATATGTCAACCGTGATGACTCGAGGGCGGCTCGACTCATGGTACCGGGTTTGTTGCAACAGCAGACGCACACCGACTGACCTAGCCCACTTTGGTGTGGGTGTCGTAAGCCACACCTCAACTTGGCATTGTGGATCATATGATATCATCGGTTCAGTACTGGTGATGGTGAACCGTTCTGCTCTCTGCCCAGGCAGGCCAGCGGTCATTCAGTCTGCGAACAACCAAGGGCCCGCGCCGCTAGCAAGCACGTTGTCCGGTAGTGCATCGAACTGCAGCTCTTTAGCCAAAAAATTTCTACTGGAAGACTCGGCTTCAAATGGAAATGATCCTCGGCGATTAGCCTGACGAAGCATGGCCGACCTTTTCGCTTCCAGCGAATTCATTGGGGGATTTTTTTTTTGTGTCAAAAATCCATTCAACTTATTGCGAATGCTCTTCCGGAACCCCTGCGTGAGGCCATCTACAACTATACTTTGATCGAGTTCCTGGTCATATGGTCTACAGGATTCTTGCATCATGATGTAAGAAGACGAGTTTTTGATTTGTGTGGCGGATAGCGCGCGCGCGACAGCAGTGATATTTTTTCAAGCTTAAAATTGGAAACAGCTGCAGCTGGCTTGAACGTTCATGTTCTTGGCTAGCGCGTCAATTGATGCTCCACCTTGTCCGAATGAATAGCAAAACGAATCGAGTGGCTGTTCACTGGCATAGTATATGTGGGAGGATTCTCAGGGTTTTGATGCTTTGCAAACTTGTTGTGCGTTGCCGTCCATGAACCGGGGATTAGCGTAGTGCAGGCATTCAATCGCCCAAGCCGCACAATTTTGATCAACAGGCTGCTGCGGGGAAGATCACGCAACAGTAACTCATGAGCAGACGGTACCTTAGTAGGGTCAGTGTTCTTTCATGTTTGCCTTTTTCCCCTCGCTTAGCTCTCCTAGTTTGTCAAACGATGGCAAGAAAACTTGCCCGCTCGGTTTGCGATCAATTCCTGTACCAACTTCACAAGTTAGGGGCTTCTAGCTCCCATGCCTCGAGGCCTCACAGAGGCCATGGAGCTAACGACCCAAATCTTGGCACTTTGGGAATGATAAAAAGCATGCGATTGCTATCCGATGCACGTTCATCGCCAATTTGCTATTCAAGATCTCAGCTAACATGCTCAGAAACCCTGAAAGACCCAGGAATACACACCATTTGTTGGAAAACAGGTGACTCGGATCTGACCCAAAGTGGCGGACTAATTGTGCTTGCCTCATGTTGAAGCCGCCCAGCGCGCGCTCGCACATTACACTGTAATGACACCCATGCATAACACACCCACATCGCGTTCCGTCCATCAGCACGACTTCCCAGATTACGCCGGGATGCGAAGAGCAGTGACGAGAGGATCGGGCACACATCTGACAGTCCGACTCCCACGGTCCGCGATTATACTGAAGTGGGTACAGATTAGACCTAACATCCAATCCCACCAAAAAGCGAGATACATACGCTCAGCAATAGGCTGACGAGATACCTACGTAATTCTTGCTGACGACCTCCATCCGCAAGCACAGCACTTACATAATATATACCAGGCCCAAATGAAGGATTTCTATAACCCGCCCTACGGGCTAAAGTGGGGAACATTTGCTTCCATCCCGCCATGAAGGTGAGGAAATTTGAATTCCCTTCGCATGTAGTCACGCTACAAATGAATGCTGATTAGCCCTAAGCGACACAAGCGACACAGTTCAATGCAGATCCCGACCAAGCTTAAGAGGTCAATCACCATCTAAGCTCCAATTTTAGGAAGACACACTCGAAATCATCCCCGAGGTTTTTCCGTTCACATGTCATGGTATCTCATGCTCTCTGCACTGCGACCGTGCGTATGAAATACAAAACCATCCCCTTAGACCCTCAACTCCAATACCATTCGCACCAACAGAAAACCAATCGCCCTACGAATCCGCTAGGTCCGGGTTGGTTTGTTGTTAAATAATAGCTTACAGCGGCCAGTTAAACCACACCCCATTCTCTCCAGAACCCTACTCATCCTTTGAACTCCGGTCAAAACGCGTCAGCACACAAGACGAATCATTTGGCACATGTCCCAGAACGAAGAACGCCATCCCCTCCTTCAGAACCTCGCTGCATGCGACGAAGGCATCAGCGAACAAGAGGTTGAGGTCCTCCCCCATGTTCTTTAAACCATATTCACCTGGCGTTGCTCATGGAACATTTTCAGATCATACCTGGTGAAGGGGGCGCCGTCTCCCGTCACACAGGATCCAATGATCAAGGGCGAAGTATGGAACAGGGAGAAGTGAGCCAAGTAGGACTCCCGTTTATCCCCCCCAACCATGTTTCGTTACTCACTTACGCCGTTATATAATTATTTTGCTCCCCACAGGGAAATGACCCAATGCATGCGAGCCAAACGATCAACTTGCCCAGAAACGACTCTAGTATGACCAGCAGCATTCAGCGAACAACATATCAACTCCCGAGACCCACTGGTTTGAACCATGTGTTTCCGGAACATCCATCTGATCATGTTGGCACTTTCCAGGGCGTGCCAGTAGATCAGAATGGAAACATGCATCGAAATGACTCGTTCTTCAAGGGGTATCCTGTAGATCATGTTTAAGATGCATGTAGTGAGATAATATGCAATAATGCGACTGTACTATACTTCTTGAATCACGGGCGACCCATGCGGAATGACTACGTTAGCCACTTAGGAATATTGCGACTACTAGTGTAGCAAAAGGGAGCGAGCAAGCCACGTGCCGCTGCAGATTGCCCAACTTATTTGATCGAGAAAGGAACTCCTATTCAATGTCTGCACGCTTTTATCTCATTCAACTTTGACATTCAATTCAACCACGACTTTGTGTACTGGTATAACACCATCAAAGGCAGCGTCTATACAGTTGTTCTTACGCTCGAAAGAGCTCGTTCTTGCTCTTGTCAGGCGTGGAGGATGACGTTGGCTAGCGGTAACATGCAAGGAAGCTTTGGTATTTCCCGCCGTCGGCAATAAAGAAACCGTCGGTTTCCCTCACCAGTGTAAGGTGTAGACTAGGTATATAGAGGATGGGGAGACCGAAAAAAAGCGGCAAGATGTTCGCGGGTATCAATGGGTGGAGTTGGAAGAGAGGGTTGGGCGGAGGAGGAGCTTGGGACGTCGGGCCTCCCGTGGGTCACAACTGAATTCTCTGATCTCGACGTCGACGTCGACGACGGCGATATCAAGGGACTTCTTACAGTACTTGGAGGTCACGTCGAGGCCGTCATTCAAATTACCCGAGAGAGACCCACATCACGCCGATCCACAGGATGACGGGGTCTCGACGGCGGAGAACTCTTCGATGGGTACCCGATTCGGGTGCTTTGTCCGCTTATCTGGCATGGATCTCGGGAGCTTAAGGTTGTCTTCCCAGGCCTTCACGAGCGCGTGGGTTGCCGACGGCACGGAGAGTTCCTTGATCCTCCGGTTCCGGTTCCACACGGTGGTGTTAGTACGGGCTACGAGGACCGGGGTAGAGCGCAGTAGTACCTGGCCTCCATCGGGAACAGGGGGGAAGAGATAAAGGGAAAGTACACCATATTAATGGGGGTACCTTAGTTCTCCGCCGGGTTAAGTTATATTATCCCCATCATAGCCCTCGGCTTTTTCTGGCCGCCTCGTCACTCTAAGACCTCTGGATGGATGCATTACACAGGGATAGCCACGCACTCACACAAGTTCGGAGCAGTCCAGCTTCGACTTGTCCAAGTTCTTTGCTGTAAAACCAAGTGGAATGAGTATCCTCCGGAGGTGGGACGAACATGGGATTCATGGCGTATTTCTCTGTTCCGGTGTTGTCTGATCCGAACATACCAAGTAGGCAGAATACTCAGCACTGTGCCCCGAATCAGTAGTGTTGATAATGCCCTTTGGACCCCTCCATGCCAGCTCCTTGAGTCGGAACACTCAGGGCGCCCTGTTGGTTTCGGCTACCTGATTGGGATCTTTGCTACATACCTCCCTGGCAATCACTTTTATGCCGCTACTACACTTAGCTATGTGCTTTTCAAGTGCTACCTGATATCGAAGAAACCTTTTTGTACCAAGGTTTCTTCGTTTCGTTGTGCATTCTGTTCACGATCCGGGGGCAACCTACATAGATCCAGGTAATCCAGTTACAAATTCACTTCACACACTCTCAATCCCTCCTTTTCTCTGGTGATGGGCACAAGAGGTTGACTGTTTCCCAGTGTCTCAAGCCGAGCGTCAGTCGTGGCAGCCATCAATGCTGCGAAAATGTTTTCCTTGCTTAGCAATAGGATGTGACCTTGAGTTAAGTTGGCATCGAGGCACGAGTTCGTTAAGGGAGTGGCTCGCGAGGGTTACTCACGGGTTCTGTGATCTTGGAATTCACACGTTGTCCTCAGGGCTATGTTCGACAAGCACCACTACTAGCAAGGAGAAATTAACCCTACTGCATATACCCTTGTTATGCGACGGCTAATTGGAAAACGTTGTATTTATGAACAATATTATCAATACGTATATTCTGCCAGTGATAAAATATCGGGAGGCAATTGTGTTATCAGCCGGCAGGTGTCTGAACGCGATATCAATCCGATAGTTAGATAATAGGGTCCATCCCGCCGCCAGTGCGGGTAGTCGCAATATGTGCGACTCGGTGCGCCATGTCGGGTTGCTACGTCAACAAATTGGTTATGTCCAATGTCGGATACTTGGATATCCAACGTCAAGGGACTGTGTTTGAATTTGAATATCGACGCAGAAATTATCACTGGTGCCATGTGACTGGCATCAAGTTGGTCAAGGCAGTCACAGACTTGAGCAAACAATGGGCGGTTACTATGATGAGATCGAGATTGAGGATATGACGTGGGACAAAGAGGCAAGGGTTTTCCACTACCCATGTCCGTGCGGCGATCGCTTCGAGATTAGCAAAGTTCAGCTCAAAAACTACGAAGACATCGCCACATGTCCCAGCTGCAGCTTGATCATTCGAGTGATTTACGATCCAGTGAGTGCACTTTTCTTCATCTCACGAGTCCAGTCGAATGGTCTGTCCCCATCAGTTCGATTTCGAAGACGAGGAGTCGTCTGGGGATGACGAAGAGGGGGCCGAGGAATCCGCTGACAGCGAGGACGAGCCTAAGGAGCAGCATGAGACAGCTACTGAGATTGCTCCCCCTGATGGCACCAAAATTGTAGCCTCCGTTGAGGAGAATTTTGGCAATATTCATCTAGAAGATAACCCCCCTGTGGCGAGAGACGACGGAAGCGCACTTGTTGCAGGTGGAGTCATAACAAATCGTTGAGCCTGATAATCCCTCGCTGAAAAATGAAGTAGGAACAAAGTATGGTGGCGGGACGACGACTTTCGGAAATGCTGATCTGCCAAGCATTGAATGAAGACATGAACACTGAGACTCCTTTATTTTATGGGCCCCAGCACATATTACGAATGTGCGCACTGTATGGAACTATAATGATGATACGATATCGATCCCGATTGTTCTATCCGTCACAATCATGCAGCGTCTGGCCCCCTCATGCCCTTTGTTGAAGCGGCACTTTTGCTTCCCCTCACATGCCCAATGATATGGAGCAGTGAGGTCGGTGTCATGCCCTCCATGCGCTTCGCGGCACCCTGTTTGGGTGCATGGACATTCATCAATACACTGGCAGCCATAGATCTGACTTAACCTACAATACTTGTCGGCCTCAGTTTTGTGAGTCTCTCCTGGACTTCGTAGCTAAGCCCCTATACGTCGCTGTAATTAATGTCGGACGGGAGAGTCATTTCCTCATCTTGCATGAAGACTTTAACGTCATGCGCTTGATGCTTGAGATTAAATCGGTATCGACCTAGGGGCAAAAGTTCCATTCTTAACTCCCTTGAGAGGCGATAGGTTTTATTCCAACCTTCAATATCCACTCGATCAAGGATTCGCGGATGATATTGAGCTAGCTCCGGTTTGATTGGAACGAAATCCCGCGTAGGGATAGTCAGGAAACCCAAGAGGTAGTAAGCACTGTGTCAGAGTGAACGCTTCGTAAGCTAGAAGGACCAAAATAAAAAGCACCTTCGCTGAATCCCATCGGCGGCAACCCTGAAACCTGCGGCATTCCATCCCTTGAGATAAGGTTGTAAGTGAAGAGTTCCTATTCTTTTCTTTTCAGACCGCAAACTTGGGGACTCGATGTGTGCTGTTCTAACGAAGTTTTGATTCGTTTCAGGTCATCCATTGATGGGACGTGCCTCGTCCATCTTCTATCAGAGACGATTCCGACAGCTCGACCTACACTTGTTTTGTGTTCAGCAATGGAGCTGAACGATGGAAGGCCAAATCGGTGAGCCTCATGTTTGCATTATCACCTCTGATAGTCATACGATATTCGCTCCTACTGGTAAACATGCGATACGGTTCTCCGGCGCCCCTTGAAATCAGGTCATCGACCATCACTCCCCAAACGCCATCCGCTCGCGTTAGTACAAACTGCTTCTTTGGCGATCGATAAAGCGCAGAAAGTCCCGCATTAGCACCCGCAAGAATGCCTTGGGCGGCGGCCTCTTCGTATCAAGTAGTGCCTGAAAAAAGCATTACAATCAAAACCATATACGTACGAGCCTTGGCATACCATTTATATGACCAGCGAGAAACAATTCAGGTATACGTTTCGTCTCAAGAGTTGCTGCACGGTGATAACGGAGACCCACGAATGAGGCCAAGAAGCTGACCTTTGAGCTCCCGAGCATTGATACAGTTATATTCGACACTGTAACCTGATCGAATCATATTGACATTTTCAAGTCCCCGAATGGTACGCAGCATTTGTTCTTGCTTATCCCCTGGGAGAGTACAGGATATACCGTTCCAACCATACAGTATGTCCGTCTTTTTCGGTGAGCCTGATGACTTTGGACTCTATCGATGGGCAGTATATCGGGCCTAAACATAAAGCTAATCAGAATTAACATTCATGACATTATCCTGTGGGTTTCGGGAAATAGACTAAACCTCATTGGCGGCACGATCAGTAAGATACGAGAACGGTGTAATGTCTGAATCGCCCTTTTGTTCCATTATTTGCGGATGATTCCAATCTATGCTGTCTTTGTCCAAGCGAGGGCGTGTGTCTTCAGTCTGAAATCTCGCTTTTCTCAAAGAAGCGGATATGCCTTCTGGTGGAGACGCCGGGTCATTGATGCGCCCTGGCCAGATGGTAGGCTACAAGGCCAATATGAATCTCGCCGGAAAGGAAGGTGTGGACAAGACCACCGATGAGCACTTAATTTCCTCGCCGGTATCTACACCATCGCAGGAATCAGTGTGAAGCCCCGCACTTCAATCTTCGGTCGCAATCTCACCAAGACGGATACCAGCGACTTGGGCCCAAACCGGTGGTTTGAAGGTATTGGGATTATCCAGGGCGGCATTCCCTATGTCATGGGGAGTAGATGGTTGGTCCCTGAATAAATCGTGTGCGCTGGCTGCCCGGATATCGAGGCTCGGATAATTAAACAAATTTCTTGCATGTGCCTCTTGTACCATTTCCTATCGATTTGGACGCGAAGGCGCTAATATAGAAAACGAGTTGTTATGTAGAGACAGGAAGTACACATTTCCTCTCACCCATACTGAAGGACCTTTGGGGGTCTAAACTGGATTATGAATTGGATCTAAAATGGACAAAATTTGACTCACGTGCGACCCAAGTTTAGAGCGACTTTGGGTCCAGTTTAGATGCTCCAGTTGGGCATTCACAGTACAAGCCTCTAAAGTGCTGTTAGAATTCTTGGTATTATGGTGTTCGCTATGACCAACTCACGTTTGGTGATGTTGAGTCGTGTGGCGTTTAGATTTACACCTATTGCCTTTCTTGGTGGCGTCCGTGCCAAAGTCAGTGCGCATTCATAGCGCCTGACTATAAAAGAACAATTTTTTCACAACCCAACCTTTCCTCAGTTCACGTACAACGGGACTGAGGTGTGTTGGTTATCTCTTGTTCATCGTCCATAAAACGTGTATCTAATATTCGTACACCAGCGACAACATCGCTAGGTGATTACTCTAATATACATTTAGTTCACGTACAACGGGACTGAGCGACAACATTGCTAGTCCGACATTTCGTCTTATAAGTGCATCCAAAGTGGGTTGGGTAAGTCCGTCACCCATATCCTCTATGTTCCTATTATGTAATTAGCCACTCTAATGCCCGTTCCTTCTGATCGCAAGCGACTCATCCATTCTACCATCCAGCATGCCCACCGGCTCCGTGCACGTTACTATCAACAATGCCGAACTCTCAGACTAAAGGGTACCGACTCTGTTAACTCCAGCACATCCTCTGACAACACTAGTAACCCAGATACCAGTTCAACCTCCACATCAACAATGACCAACAGCAGCAGCAGCAGCAGCAGCAGCAGTGACAACGACACTGACACTGGCAATGGTAACACCAGCAACATCTCCCAGCCATCCAACTTGTCATTGGTTGCTGAATGCAACCAAGTGCTGCAGTCCCTACATCGCTCATTCAGGCGGTCCATGTTTCGGGTGCGACTTTTCCTCTCCACTCTCCTTTCCACCCGAGTCCTTTTTCCACATGATTGTCATATCCGTGCATACCCGACCCCGACCCGACTTCCAGACCTCCACCCTCTTCACCTCCGGAGTCATAACCTACCGCTGCCTTTCCGATACTCACCTTCGGTCTTGGCAACACACCCCTCCTCTTACCTCTCCGACCCCTTCTCCGTCCGTTCCGATACTCATCTCGGACCGAACATCGCCCTACTCGCCACCCTTCCTACAACTCCGCTCCCCCCTCACCACACCTCCACCCTCCCGTCATCCCCTACGCTTTCTCCGTCCATTCCGATATCCACCTTCGGACCTGACTACTCTTCCTTACCTGTCCCCTCTCTCCTTCCTCCGTCACTCCTCCGCCACCCTTCCGCCAAGTTACGACCATCCACCGCTGTTCCGTACTTCACACTCGGACACCGTTCGTACCTTACTCCGAGCCTCCGTCATAGTCCATACCTCGGACTTTGACTCCACCTCGGTCTTAGTCCATTGCATTGGTGACCTCATACTACGTAAACACCATTGCCAATATTCCTCGGACTTCCAACCCCGCCTCCGTAACCTCCGTAAGCTCCGCAACCCCCGAGCTTCGCGGACCGCCTCCGGCACTCTCGCCGTTTGTAATGTATTTCTCGCAATTCCCCCTCATCCCTATTTGGACTACTGCTTCCTTCTATTCTAGCCAGTTAGTCATCACCCCCACTTCCCCTCATCCTCCTGCCCCTCTGGGCCTCGCCCACTCTACCTCCTTTCGGATGTATCACAGGTCTTGCCCTATGACCTTCGGTACCGCTCTGCTCCCTCTAACCCTTTGTTCCTGTTCGGACGTCTTCGTTCCGATTCGGTCGCCCTTTGTTTCTCCTTGTGCTTTTGCCCCTTCCTTATATATATATCGGTGCTTGTACATACTCGTCTGGTTTCAGTCCGAAATCGACCTGAAATGCCCCCAAGAGACTTCCTGCTCACCTACTGTGAAATTAAGGACCAAATGGACAAACAGCAATGGCACAGCGCTCCGCTTGAGTCGCTGAGGCCAAGGTCCCTCCACGCTAAGTCTCCGATTCCACTCCGGAGTCGTCCGTTTCCGCCCATCTCTAACAATGATGTCCTGAAATGCAGCCAGTTAGCGCTTATTCTTTTGTGCTATAAAGAAGATGACCCCCCCCGCTTCCATCAAAATCTACATGTCTCACATCACACATTCAACATCCTCGTCTCCCTCATCCAGGCCCACCCATGTTTCCAAAGCAGCTCCAGGAATGACCAGTGGCCTGTTGATTGCCAGCTTGCAATTGCTCTCTATCGGTTCGGCCATTTCAGCAATGCAGCGTCTGTTGATGCCATTGCACAGTGGGCAGGCTGCAGTGCAGGCATGGTTGTCAAGGCCACACGTTGTGTTATCATGGCCTTTTTGCCACTGCATAACCAGGCCATTCGATGGCCAAATGCAGCTGAGAAGCGGGAGGCATCGGACTGGGTGGAGAGTGTGTCTTGTCACGCATGGAGGCCGGGTTTTTGTATGGTGGATGGTACTCTTCTCCCTCTCGCATCCAAGCCAGGACATTTTGGGGAGCAGTTTTTTGACCGGAAGTCCAACTATTCTCTCAGTCTTACAGTATGTGGATTACTATCAATTTTTTTTATATATGTGGAACACCGGTATTAATATCCTTTTAGCTTGTAACATTACCAAACCTATGCATCATCGACTATGTGCTTGGCCCCCCTGTCATATCCGTACAATCCCGACCTCCACTCTGGGCTCCCAGAACTCCGAAACCAACTCCAGAGCCCTACTTCCCTTCCGTCACCTTCTCCTTGCCGACTCCCAAGAGGTTATCCCACCTCCGGCTCCAACACCATCTTCGGTCCGACTCTGGAACATTCCAGGTCCAACCCCAACCTCGACACCTTCCAGATGAGTACGCAACACCTATGCTCCCGACTCCGGACCTCTGCTCCGGAATCCTGTTTGTGTCTCTGTCTCCGGAACCTCCGGTCTTAGCTCCGACCTCAGACTTTGACCCCACCTCCGCTTATACCCATTGTATTGGTTAGCTCATTCCATTTAATTACGTTTGCCAATATTCCGGAGTTTAACTTCCGAGTTTGGACTTTCTGGACTTACCTTGGACCTTGCAACTATTGCATTGTCCCATTCAGTTCCGCTATACTCCCTCATTCCTATTTGGGCTGCTGCTTCCTTTCTATTCAGTCAGCTGGCCATTCCCCACTCCCATCCTCCCTCCTTCCTCCTTGGGCCTTGGCCCTTCACTCCTCCTTTGGGAAACACCATTGAGTCAAACCCTTGACCCTCGGTGTTGCCCCTCCTTTCAGCTCCCTTTGTCTCCTTTCGGAGTACCCTTGCTCCTTTTGATTCCGGACCCCTCCTTATATACAATGTACATAGTAACTTGTAACCTCAGTCTGAAATCGACCTGAATTCCCCCAAGAGACTTTCCCTCTGCTAGATCTGAAATTAGGGACCCCCAGGACAACCAGCAATGGCACAGTGCTCCACCTGAGTCGCTGAGGCCGAGGTCCTTCCATGCTAAGTCTCCGATTCCACTCTGGAGTCGTCCGAATCTGCCTGGTTCTAACACCCCCTGTGTCATATCCATTCCCAGCCATCGACTTCTGGTCCCTCCGATCCCTCCGGTCTACCTCCGCTCCTTCTTTACTAACCTCGGAGCTCCTGTATTCCGCAATCCTCTCGGTACCCCTCGATGGTCACCACCCCCTCCTTTCAATTTATTACCTACGCCTCCCTAAGTACGGAGCCCCAAAGACTTCCAGACAGCTCCGACGTCCGCTAGCACACTCCCGCCTCCGCTGGGCAATACACTCGCCTGCCCTGCAGAGCCCACCTTCGGGCCTATCCCTCCTTTCCATTTCTGGGTTATCACCCACCTTTCCGTTAACCCCGCGACCCGACTCGTCGGTAATATTCAGTTGGCTAATGTTTATCCCCGTTAGCTCTGCTCCGTTCGGCTCCACCATTTGCGGACCCGTCTTCGCTGTAACCATATATATATCCAACTTGTACATAGGTTACACTTCAGTAATAAAATCAACTAGAGTTACCCCCCTTCAGTTCTGGTTGCCAGTTAGTAAGTTAGGGCATGGACGTGTTACTAGGCACAGCGCTCTTGGCATAAGTTGCTGAGGCCGAAGCCCTCCACCATGGAGACTTTCCTTTGTCTCGAACCTGGTCTCTGACACCCTGGCAGTATGCACGACTCAACGGCATTCAAGGAATCCCGTGCATTCAAAGAATCTGACCAGCTTTTCCGCAATGGTGAATGGTTGTGGGCCGACTCTGCATATGCACTCTCCCCATGGTGTATGGTGCCTTACAAGCGGCCACAATCACTTGCAGCATCAAACTGCCAATTCAACTATCATTTATCTACGGTGAGTTATTTCCAAGACCTCTCATGATTATTTATGATTTAAATGTCCTTTTTTACAGGTGTGCATAAGGTCAGAACATGCTGTGGGGTACCTCAAAGGTCGCTTCCAGTCACTTCGTGGACTCCGTCAACAGATCAATTCAGAGCGTGATTATGTACTTTTGCTTGCATGGGTCCGCACATGTTTGATCATCCACTCTTTTGCAGCATGTGTTGAAGATGAGGAGTATGAAAGTGATTTCTGGGAATGGGTTGAGGAGGGCAGGAGTGGTGAAGATGATAGCGAGGATGATGAACCAGTTGCAGGTTTCACCTGGGGTGGAGCAGGGTCATCACTGCCCCGAGAATTGGAAGGGCACCAGAAGCGCTGTCTTGTACAGGCAGCTCTTTTTGATGCTCTCTACTAAAATTTTCATATTCAAATATTTGTACTACATGTGTATGAGTATGAAGATGAATTTTTTGTGGTTTTTTCACACTGAGCATAAAGAAATCTAAAAATTGAGACTCCCAAAATCAAATGTGGGATCATGCTGTTGTTGTGGCTGTTGCTGCAGCTGTTGCTGCTGCTGTGGCTGTGACTGGACCTGCGCAAGTTGTAACTGAAGCCTGAGCGACTCAATTTCAAATTTATGGTGCATCTTTTCTCTCTTGAGCTCAAACCGTGCCATCTGCTGTACATGATGGTATTCAGCCTCTTGTTGAGCTTGAACCTGATCAACCCGTGCTGCCTCATGGAAATCGGCAATAAAATCTTTGTGGCCCTTTGACCCTGATGTGCGTGAAGCCATGAGCGTCAAGTCAACCTTGGACTTGAGTGTGGCAGGCCCTGGGGTTGACCTTGCCAGTGTATGAGATGAAGACACACTTGAGTCTTCTGCATTAATCCCTGGCTTGACATCAGGGAGCTGCGAGTCTGGAAGGGAGAGTGGAAAACCAGTGGGCGACTCCATGCGAAAAAGGGTGGTGTCCGTATTAAGAAGTCCCATGTCAACCTGAGGTGGTGGTTCGGCCCAAGAAATTGGTGAGTTGACATGGGAAAGCAGTGCATTTACGATGGCTGGTGGTGAAGGTGGACGGGAGGTATTGGTCTCAATGGGTGCAGCAACTTGCTCTGGAGGCACAAAGACGGCTTGTTCAAAATCACTTACCATCTTCCCAGTGCCGCTTGTTGAGTTTGTTACCATCTGGAATGCGTATTTTGGATGCTCTGACCACCATCCATGCAGTGTGTTCCACCATGGGAAAGATGCATGAATCATCTCTTCAAAAATGAGAAAATAAGCAGTGTACCAAGTAATTGACATGTACGCTACCTAGCTGGTTTCTGTGCATTTCATTCTTATCCTCATCCTCATCTTTGAGGCCCTCACCGGTCTGCTGTAGCATTTTGCGATATCTGGTGTATGTCTTCTGTAAACTACAATTGGGAGAATACTAGATGAGCTACAGTGACCTCAGCAACTAATAAACTTACTAAGTGATCCGACCTAAGACAGGTTGCATAGCGCTCAGGTTCCATTAAATAAGCGCCACGATCCGGTTCCCCTTCGACATCAAAGACAGCCTTTGCTATCTCACGGTAATATTCAACTTTGGGTTTGCTACCAACAACCTAGGTGATAGTGAGTGGTGAGAGTTGAAAGGCATCATATTAGATGCTCACCTTTTTCCGTGACTCCTTCCTTGCATCCTTGACAGAATCACTGAACATTTTCAGTCGAACATCAAGGTGGTTTGTGAGATATTCAATTGGGCGCTCTGTCCAGCGTTCATTGGTGTCCCATTGAACCTTTGGAGTGTGAGGCTCAGACTTAATTTCAGCCTTGACGGCAACCATGGGTGGGGTGGCACTGGCAGACTCGTTGTCTGTTGTTGTACGTGAGCAGCACCCTGATCGTAGCTGAGGGACCAAACCCTCAGGGTTTTTTTCGTTTGGCTGGCATGGTTTGGGAAGCGAGATGGTGGTGACGGTGATGGGGTGGGGTGATGAGGGGTGAGTGAAAATGCGCAAAGGGACAGGTGACCTAAAGCAGAGAACTGTACAGCAAGATTTGCGGACTTATGTATAAGGCCGAATTTAGACTGACTTTAGAAAATCGACTTTAGGCCAGTTGGGGGACTTGAGCCCCAAGTCAAAGTCGTCAGTTTAGAATGAGTTAAGATCGAGTTTTGTCACTCACGTGTCACTTTAGGAATTTCACTTCAGATGCAATTCAGCTGACTTCAGTCAACTGTGAAACGCCCTATTATCCCTGCTTTGTCGGTTAGGCTGACATCAGGCAAAAGGCACACTTAATGAGGTAATTGATCAGATGCCAGCGACCCGACCACACATGCCGTCTAGTGCATCCACTTCCCAAACCAGTGTACCCTTTAATGAAATAGGAGCTATCGCGTGTAACTCAGTCTCAAAATGGAGAACTAGTATTAAGATTTTTACCTATTGCATGTAACTATAACATGAAAATACAATGAGTTATGCGCAAACACAGATAGGAAAGAAATGGAGAACTGAGGGAGGGAGAAAAATTACGGCGTCCAGTGTAACTTATACGACTGGAGCCAATATCGCTTAAAGCGATTGCCAGTGACAACTGGTGATATAAGACAAAGGAAATTGGGAGCGTGTGGTACCGTGACTCTGAAACAAAAAGGTATAGTCGTTGTTAGTCACAATGATATTAAGTTAAAATAAAAACTCCCCAATCCACGCTGCAGCTTGGCTGTTGTCGATGAGCGTTGATATTCCAACACACCCACTCAATGATCATGACCATCGATAATTCCATACCTCTGGTGAACTTGTCATGTTTAGCCAGTGCAAGTCCTTTAGTAAGAACATTGGCCACCTGATCGGCCATCGGGACATAATTGAGCTCTATGTCTCCATTGTCTGTCATATCCATACAATCCCAACCTCCGCTCCAGGCTCCTGGAACTCCGAAACTGACTCCGGAGCCCTACTTCCCTTCCATCACCTTCTCCTTGCCAACTCCCAAGAGGTTATCCCACCTCCGGCTCCGACACCACCTTTGGTCCGACTCTGGAACATTCCAGGTCCGACCTCAACCTTGACACCTCCCAGACGAGCATGCAACACCTATGCTCCCAACTCCGGACCTCCACTCTGGAATCCCGGTTGCGTCTCCGTCTCTGGAACCTCTGGTCTTAGTGTCAGGGGATGCGTGTGCTCACGCAGGATGCTCCAATAACCTAGTTGTGATTAAAGCTGGGGGAAAGGGATGTCCCCATCTTAGGGTCAGCTATATACATGTAGAGTCCAGCAATAAGGAAACCAAACGGATTGCCGATAGAATCACGTGATCATAGAATGATCCAGAACAATGCCGGAGATGATCTGGGTCACTGGGGCTTAGGTAAGCAGAGTAGACAGGAATTACCGGCATACTTCCCACATGCATATGCACAGCCGGCATAGGGTCCAGGGTCGTTGCTGATCCCTGACACTTAGCTCCGACCTCAGACTTTGACCCCACCTCCGCTTATACCCATTGTATTGGTTAGCTCATTCTATTTAATTACATTTGCCAATATTCCGGAGTTTAACTTCCGAGTTCGGACTTTCCGGACTTATGTCGGACCTTGCAACTATTGCATTGCTCCATTCAATTCCGCTATTCTCCCTCATTCCTATTTGGGCTGCTGCTTCCTTTCTATTCAGTCAGCTGGCCATTCCCCACTCCCATCCTCCATCCTTCCTCCTTGGGCCTTGGCCCTTCACTCCTCCTTTGGGAAACACCATTGAGTCAAACACTTGACCCTCGGTGTTGTTCCTCCTTCCAGCTCCCTTTGTCTGCTTTCGGAGTACCCTTGCTCCTTTTGATTCCGGACCCCTCCTTATATACAATGTACATAGTAACTTGTAACCTCAGTCCGAAATTGACCTGAAATGCCCCCAAGAGACTTTCCCTCTGCTAGATCCGAAATTAGGGACCCCCAGGACAACCAGCAATGGCACAGCACTCCGCCTGAGTTGCTGAGGCTGAGGTCCTTCCATGCTAAGTCTCTGATTCCACTCTGGAGTCGTCCAAATCTGCCCGTTCTAACATTGTCAACACATTCTCAAATGAAATGTTGTCTGACACGAATGTGTTTAGTCCACGCATGGAAGGCGGGATTAGTGGCAAGGGCAAGAGCACCCTGATTGTTGCCAAGGATGGTGTGAGGAACAGAAGGGGGTTTGAGGATGCCACCAAGAAACTGCTGAATCCAAATGGCTTCCTTAGACACATGAGTCAACGCCATGTATTCACCTTCTGTGCTGGAAAGAGCTGTTGACGATTGTTTCTTTGAACTCCAAGAGATGGCAGCGCTGGCAATCTTGAACACAAAGCCGGAAATGGATCAATGATCGCGCGAGTCACCTGCCCAATCGCAGTCGGAATAGCCTGTAAAATCATCATTGCGAACTTTACCGTTATAGACTAGCTTGTAGTTTCGTGAATAGTTCAAGTATCTGAATACACGATTAACAGCAGCGAGATGTTCCTTCCTGTTAGAACTGGGCGAGGGCGGATGATTCTGGAGGGGAACCCGGAGACTTAGCAAGGAGGGACCTTGGCCTCAGCGACTCAAGTGGAGTGCTGTGCCATTGCTGTTTGTCCATTTGGTCCTTAATTTCATAGGCAGTGAGCAGGAAGTCTCTAGAGGGCATTTCAGGTCGATTTTAGACTAAGGCCTAAAACGAGTATGTACAAGCGCTGATATATATAATGGAGAGGGCAAAAGCACAAGGAAACAAAGGGGGTCCGAATTGGAACGAAGGCGTCCGAACGGGAACAAAGGGATGACAGAAGCGGAGCGGTACCGAAGGTCATAGGGTGGAACCTGTGGTACATCTGAAAGGAGGTAAGGAGGGTGAAGCCCAGAGGGGCAGGAGGATGAGGGGAAGTGGGGATGATGACTAACTGGCTAGAATGGGAAGAAGCAGCAGTCCAAATGGGGATGAGGGGGAAACGCGAAAGATACATTACAAGCGGTGAAAGTGCCGAAGATGATCCGTGGAGCTTGGAGGTTGCGGAGCTTACGGAGGCAGGGTTGAAAGTCCGAGGAATATTGGCAATGTGTCAGGGGATGGACCCCGGGTCCCCATGACCCCTCTCTGCAGTCCACAGTCTGGCCTGTAAACACAGCCCATCTCAGGGCATAGCTACTGTGGGTAAGAAAGTGTATAGATAAATAGAAAGTAGGCTACACTTGCCTACTGTGGGTAAGAAAGTGAGAAGAAGGTTAACTTCTCACTTTCCCACAGTGGCCCCAATATGGTGAAAACTTCCGGGGATACCCGGAAGTCACATGAGGTGGGATCCGGGGTCGGATCATGCGGCGCAGGAAGTGCGCGGGAAGTGGAGTGGGTCCGGGCTAAGTCAGGGTATGTGCCCTGACACAATGGTGTTTACGTAGTATGAGGTCACCAATGCAATGGACTAAAGCTGAGGTGGAGTCTAAGTCCGAGGTTGGGACTATGACAGAGTCTCAGAGCAAAGGTACAAGTGGTGTCCAAGTACGAGGTATGGGACAGCGGTGAAAGGTCGTAGCTTGGCGGAGGGTCGGTGGAAGAGGGTCAGAGGCAAGAGAGAGGAGAGAGGAAAGGGGTGAGGAGTGGAGGAGAGGAAAGGTGTCAGGTCCGAAGGTGAGTGTTGGAGCGGACGGGAGAAGGGTAGGAGAGTGATGGAAGGGTGGAGGTGTCGTGAGGAGTGGGAGGAGTGAGAGGAGTGATGTTTGGTCTGAGATGAGTATTGGAGTGAACGGAGATAGGGTAGGAGAAGGACAGGAGGGTGGAGGTGGCATGAGGGGTGAGGGGAGGTGTGGTGTCAGGTGTGGTGTCAGGACTGAAGGTGAATATCGGAACAGACAGTGGTAGGGTAGGACTCCGGAGGTGGTGAAGATGGAGGTCCAGGAGTCGGTTCGGGATCGAGTATGTATGGATATGACACTTCCCAGGATTGGTGGAGTATTGGCTCAGCGCGCTGTAGGAGAAATAACGGTCACACTATGGAAACCCATTATGGAAATATGCCAGATAGATCACAAAACCTCATACGACAAGTAGATATAAGAAAACTGAAGGACACGAATTTTTACGAATTATTATGACTATATGCAATAAATCGAAAGAAAGAAAAATAGCAAAAATACTTCAAGCTTACCATCAACGAGACGGAATTCCCAGGGGAATTTATAGCAAATATTAAAACAAGAATTAGGACAATTGACCAAGATTTGACTATAAAAACAATCAGAGAACCTCCACGGAAACTACTTTCCCACGTCCACACACGTAGCCAAGGATGGAAGTACCACGGATCAAGGATTCCTCAGGAACTAATGCAAAATTCAAAGTCATGTTTATAATAGGAAATGTAGATGTCCCCCAAACGGACCCAATGAGAGTAATTACAGGGGAAACTACCCATAAACGACGGAGATATGACTAAAACTCCTGCAAAATGAGGACAATATCTAAAAGGCAAGCGCGAAAATTAACCAGTAACGACCGAGACAAGCTGGATAAGCCATTAGAAAGGAAGGGATCTAATCTTAATTCTCCCAAATTTTCATAATAAAAGGATCATGCGTTAATGAGATATCCAATAACGGGAATAGTGACATCAAAAGTCCGAGCTCAGGGAAAAGATGATGTTTGCGTAGGATCCATAATTAAAACATACAACGAAATTTACACGGAAATTATTAAAAATGGGGAACTATAGTTATGCAAATTTTCAGCCCAAACGGTCCAGCCGTTGTGAAGTTATACCCATGACGGGAATATAGGAATCCGCATCATGTGTAATGACACGTGAGGGTGGCGAT